AATTAAACTATTACAATCATTACATCACAAATTTGATGAACAAATTAACGCAGTAAGTACTGTAATAAGGTCATTCATCAACGCAGTTGCAATAATGGCCTTAATTGATAACAAACATGCAGGTCACTATTAAATTGTCTGTCGTGGAACCTATACAGTATACACCTACATATTTTATGGATAATTAATTATTCTAGCATCTGCCTGGGGCTATCTGCATGTTATGCATCACAATCTCCATGGTCTTGGTTTCATGCAAGACTAGCGACTCACCCTCGCTTCGCTCAGATTCGTCTCTAGCTTGATTCCCCATACAAACTTTTATCCTCATTTACACCCCCTTAAGGGATGATTTCAGAGATAAAAGTATCCTATATCTTTTTCAGGGTCTCAATCTATCTTCTTACCAAATTTCATCTAAATCGGTTCAGTACATCCAGAGATTAAACCCTACAACGTCACAAGCTCACAAGCTTTATCTCTTTATAATATTAGTATAGATATATCACGGGAAGCTAATGATAATATTTCGTCTAACGCCATCGTGAAATGGATATTAGTTACATTTTAAAGATAAATACATATTAAAGAAAATTCTTTTCGTTTAAAATTATATTACACAAAAAGAAAGACTACATCAAATCAAAAGTTCTCATAAATTGTAGCTTAGCTGAAAAGAAAAAATGTGCAGTCAGTCATCGTTACTAGTTACTTTTATATTTGTATTTATATTACTCTCTATTGAATTTATCATTTTGAATAAACAAATAATAACAAAGTAAAAATGGCTGTCGCATGGGGGTAGCTACAAACTGTAAATGAAATCGCAAAGAATGAAGCAGCGAAATATAATATATTCTTATTGTATCCATCCATAGTAAAGGCTCTCGTAACCTAATAATAATAAAGTCTATAGACTTTATTATTCTTAGGTTACGAGAGCCTTTTGGAATATCTCTATCTCATCTATATACTAGTTTATCCTAGTCCTTAATAATTTATTGGTGTAAAAACCCTATAGGTCGATTAAAATTCATAGCACACAATAGTCTTTGGTTATAATAGTCATTCTATACAAAGTAACCAAAGGATTATATTATTACAACAAAAAAAAATGAATGAATCATTTTTATTTAGGCATAATCATTACGTATACATATAATAAAATTGTAACTAAGCCGAATCAGTACATTAAATATTTTTTGGAAAATCTTATTGAAATAAACATTATTATCGATACAGAGGCTGAATCTATAGTATTTAGAATTTTTGTCTGTCTGTCTGTCTGTTACCGCATCACAGAAAAACCACTGGAGGGATTTTGATGAAATTTGGTATGGTGATAGCTGGTTATCTGTGTCAACATACAGGATACTTTTTACCGCAGGATAATATCTCATTTCTGAGAAAAAATACAAAAACTGTAATTTAAGAGTATACATATGTAAAACCTAAGAATTTGGTCTTTGGTCATTGGAATGCGAGCGGAGCCGCGGGCAATGCTAGTAATCATATAAAATCATTTTTTTTTTTGACAATCCACCATCATAATTCAGCAATTTTGTATAAAATACAAATTATATATATATAAACCTTGTTTTCTTGCTCTCTCTGTATTGGTGAAAACTGTATCATAATCCATTAAGTGATATAAAAGAAGTAAGTGGAGAAACAGAGGGAGACAGAGACTTTGTTTTGTACTATGTATAGATGAGTGACTTGCTTCCAAAATAAATTTAGTTATTTTCTCATGAACACGAGTTTTTACCGCCCTGCTACTTATAATTTTGGTGTAATAAATTATTGAAATCTTTGAATGAAGGACAACTCAGCCGAATTGGTAATTGTTTTTCCATAGGAATGGGAGATTTTCCTGTAGTAAAAGGTAACTTAAATGTTGACCCAAATAATAAGTTGTAAACCTACACCAGCATAAGTAAAGAAAGAAAATTCTTCTTTACATTCATCCTTTAATATCAAGAGTCAAGACTTATTTATGTCTTTGGTATTAAACATTCAATCTTGTTTTTCTTATGTACCTATAAAATGTTCTATTTAAAATCAAAGCAAACTAACTTACTTATAAGAACACTTATAGAGAAAATCTAATATATATAATGTAGGGTAAAAAATTAGTTAGGGTGTCATGCAAAAGTTTTTCTTCTTGGAGATATTTTTCTGAGATTTGATCATATATTTTTTAGTAAGGAGTATAATTTTTATGGGATATTATTTTGTATAAAAACAATTTATTTTCTTTAACTAGCTTTGAAATGTTAGGAAAATGACAAACAAATTTTCTCAAGACTATTCATTTATATTAATTTACTATTTCATAATTTCAATAACGCTTCTATAATAACGGGCAATATAGACACAAATTAAAAAAAAACAATTTCAGCGAGTACATACTACAGAAGTTTGGTGATAAATATGAATATAAACAGAACTAAGTCATTTATAAAATATTTACAAATTTACAAACCTTTGTACATAAAGGAATCATTTTCAATATTGACTACATTCCAATATTCGAGCATTTTCGTATCACAATAACACATATCAAAAGTTTAGGAACTTTCAAAACTTTTTGACGGCACATAAACTAAAACACCTCATCACACTGTTATTTTTCACTCATTCACTCAAATAATTTATAAATGCAATTTATCAAACTTTCTTAAATTAGACGCAATAACTTGTTGTGTACAAGTAAATGACATAAATAATATTCGAATTGATTTCAATAAACGATACGAAGAAACTTTATTCCAACCTAAACTGACTGACGCAAGCAATGAAGTTTACAAAACGGGAAATGCGCAAGTATCAACATTCAACGTTCAACACTCATTATACCTACGACTAAAGGTAGGTGGTACCTATCTATAATTCTACGTACAGACTACATACCAAGCTTTAGTGTTGCCAGTAAACGTTTTACCTAATCTCACTATTTTAAAACATTTTTTTAAAATGTTAATAAAATATAATAATATTATTATATATTATTGAAATTTTGAACAATTCATTTAAATATAGAGTTATGTAGCGTAATAAAATTACGAAATAGAATATATCCAATTATTTGAAATGTTATATCCTAGTAATATATTATCGTACTTGTATCTTTGTTAATTGTTATTGTTACAACATTTTACATTTATAACTATAGATCCTAGCTATAGACAAACAAAGGCACAGAACTCAACACAAATACTCCTAACCAAAGGATTAACGTTATTACCCAAAACCAGGTTTATTATTAATTTAAAATTTTAAGGGTCAAAAAGAGTAGGTATTTAGATATTTATATCCATAATAATATTATAAATGTGAAAGTGTGTTTGTTTGTCCTTCTTTCACGTGGAAACGGAATGACGGATTGGTTTGATTTTTTGTGTGGACTGTGGAGGCAGTTTGAGGGCTGGAGAGTGACCATAGAGTATATTGCTACATGACATAGGCTACTTTTTACCGCGGGAGATTATCTCATTCCCACGGGTAAAAACGTTCTAATACGAACCAAAAAATATGATCAGAATTACTTGAAACTTTGTATTAATACTCTTCAATACAATTAAATAAGTACGTGTTTTAGCATTTTTCGAAATTCATCCCATACTTTAATGATAATAATGGGGTACAATAGGGCATGTAAGTTTGTATGAAACCTACAATTTTAGTTTTTTGTAGTTTTAGCGGGACCGAAGTTGCGGGTCCTGCTAGTATTTACATAAAAAGGAGCAAGTATAGAATCTTACATCTAATTCAGGTTCTTTGTATAGCATTTAAGCTCAACTAATCTCCAATAGGAAAGAAGTGCTTTAACTTCGAAAAAAGCATCAATAAAACATGGAATACTAATAATATGTACGATTAATAATCAAACTATCTCTTTATTATAAGGTAATTTTATGAATACTTTTTAAGTACTCTTAAATAAACCGTAAAATAAACAAGCTAGGTCTATATTATATACATGTCTATAATTATAAAGCTCTTACAAACGGTAGTTGATCTACATCTTTGCAACTATATAAACCTTATTGTTTTCAAAAATAAATGTACCTACCAACATATGCGCTTGGGATTTAAGGTAGACCAATTTTAATTCTACTAAAATTCATTACTCTAATGATTGCTTTTAACCAAGTAAACAACAACACAAAAAATTAATGAAATAACATTGTAAATCTTTTGTTGACAATGAAAGTCGTTTTTTTATAGATTTATTTAATATATTGTTCTAAAATTGTACAATCACGCACAAACACACAGTAAACTTTATTTTCAAAATAATATTACTTTTCAGTCTGCTCCAAATTTGAAAAGAAATATGAAAATGGCACTACCCATGGTTACATATTATCAATAAAACTATTGAACAAATAAATCATTTTAGAATTTTAAAATCCCTCAAAATAAACAACTTCAAATAAAGCAAATAAGCTTATATAAATAAAACAAAAGGGAAGAAAAAATAACTAAATCAAATGAAATATTTATTATAGAAAATAATACTTGACTTTGAAGTCAATGATTGATAAATCTACAAAATTGTATTATTTGATTTCTTACAATATAAATCAGGAGATTACAAAATACCTATTATAATAGAAATAGAATAAATCTACAAAAAAAGATCTTACAAATTATATCTTAGACTTGTACGTTGCTAGGGAGAGCTATGTCTACACAAAGTTTAACCATGCAAGATGGTTTATGGTAAAATAGTTGAAGTAAATGCAATTAAATCACAAATAGGATCTCTTAAAAGTGCTAATTAATTTGTTTAAAATATTTCTTGCATGATTAAAATTTGGCAGCAATCTCATTTGAGACTTGTATTGTTATGATAACCCCAAGTGATAGCAATAACGCTACAGAGCATATAGCATCTCAGAAATATAATTTTAATGAAAGCATAATGCCCCATGGAGTTATGATGACAAACAAATTACACTAAGAGTGAGTTGTGAGAGTAACAAATGTGTTTACTGGTCAGACCCCTCCTCTTCTTCTTCATCTTCTTGTTCCTCTTCAGTTGAGCCTGCATCTTTTTTAGGCGGAGGTGCATCCTTACGTGGCCGACCTCTACCTCTTCCTTCACCAGAACCACTCTTGAAATGTAAAGAAATTAATTAATTAACATTTAAAATACATGAAATTCTATATATTATAAACATCAAAGTAATCTTTACCTTAGCTTTAGGGGCTGCTGCCTTTTTCTTAGATCCTTTGGGTCTGCCCCTTCCTCTTTTGACCACTGGTGCTTGTTCATCATCTGAGGAATTTTTAGATTCTTTAGGTTTCACTGCTGCCGCTGGTTGTCTGCCTCTTTTCTTAGCATCACCTTTAGCTTCCTAAAATAAGTTTGAAATTATAAGCACCACTCATAATGTAATCTAACATAGTATAATATGATGAATACTCACTGATTGTGTCCCATTAGCTTTAGGTCTACCACGACCTTTCTTTTCGACTGCTGTTGAACCATCGTCCGACATTTTGGTAGGATTTAAAAAGCTACGAAATCAAAACCTGAAAGCAATAAGCAAATTTTCTAAATAACAATACAAACGAAGTAATAAAAACTCAATAATCATTAAAAATCTACATTGATTTTATACGAAAACTAATAAATTAAACATTCCACTTTATTTACAGAAGATATACTTAAAATAAAAGAAACAAAGGAAACGCAAAAGAAAATAAACAAAACTAAGAGTCATTAGCCTCTAGGACGCTCTCGCTTGTTAAAATATATTAACGATTATTAGGCGTAAATGGACATGGAATAAAAGTAAATAAAATGTTATTTAATAGACGCATATGCACAGTAAATTAAAAGAACATCAGATAATTCTTTGCTACTGCAATATCATTTTTAATAAATAGTAGTAAGTATTTTACGAGCCCCAAGCCAATTTAATGGAGTCTGCCATTAGGCAATTAAGGATTTTACACAAAATGCTCACGTTTAAAACATTTAAATTTTTACAATAATGTAAGAATATTATAATTTTTATTGTTATTTCACAAATTAAACTATAAATTAATAATAATATAAAGTCTACTCACAGAATTGTTTACAGCCAACGATATAGCAATGGCTAAAAAGAATATTATGGCGGGCTGCGCGCTAGCCGCTAGCCGGTGTTTATTTGGCGTCAGTGTAGAGGGCGCCGTTGTCACAATTTTTTTAGTTTAAAAAATAATCTGCTATTATAAACTTTCAAATATTTACAGGTTTAATAGTCATAAATATATATTATATAAGAATAAATTTAAATCAATAAATAATAACATTAAAGCTACGTGAAATATTAAATATTTCTTGAAATATTGTTGTCTTTTCAAAAATTTTAACTTAGAAAACTTTACATCGTTAACAAAATTTATTAATTAAGTTATTATTGTTTCTTTTGCACTTTAAATATAAAAATTTAAATATAACAAAAAATATCGAATATTAGGTTTTGGCGCGAAAAGAACTAAATCGAAAATTAATCATCTGTGAGTGTAAGTCATCTAATTTTTATTATTTTTACTTTTATTCAATTTTGTATATTTCAAAAACAAAATATTCATACATTATAAAATACGAATTTAAAAACAGTAAAGAATCTAATATTACATTGTATGAGCATTTAGTACTTTGCTGAATAATTAAATGTGACAAAACTGAATTGCTATTAGAATAATATTTGTACGATTATAAACGTTTAGAATGGGGAATATTTCTCGAAAGGAAGACGAAACACGTATGGCCTATTTACATTCAGTGTGAGATTGAGCAATTTATTATGAAATTCGATATCTCTTTTGTACCTGGTTTTTTGTTTCTATTGTGTTCGCATCTTACCTGTGCAATGTATTATACCTGGAAGTTAGACCAGCTGAAGGAATAATAGAGAAGGAAAGTTGCAACCTGTGGTGGTCTTGACTAACCGATGGATCAACACACAGCATAAACCGCTGGTCGTAGAAACGTGAAATTTGGAAGACGATACTCCTTATAAGATGTAGGCGTCCAATAAGAAAGGATTTTTCTAAATTTATCATTAAATGGGATTAATATGGGATTAAAGATTGTATGACACTCTGTTATTCTTAATGTGAAATTCACAGAAAGTAGTGTTTAGCTGTAAGATAAAAATAAAGAATTATTATGTTTATTTGATTTATTTCGAAATTCATCCCTTAAAGGGGCAAAAGAGGGTAGTAAAGTTTATATGGGCAAAGAATTATTTATGATCAGAATTACTTGAAACTTGGTATTAATGCTCTTCAATACAATTTAATAAATATGTGTCTTAGGGTTTTTAAAATTCAATCCCATAAGGGTATAAAATGGGGGATGAAAGTTTGTATGAAACTTTGTAATTAATATTATATAAAAAAGGACAAAAAACAAATTCGAAAATTTTGAAAAATGTAGTTTTATGTTGTAATTTCTAGGTACAATACATTGCACAGGTAAAATGTGAATACAATAGAAGCAAAAAAACCAGGTACAAAACTGGTATCATAATAAATTGCATAACCTCAGACCTTAGAGTTTAAATGTATACTCTAAGCCTCAGACTGAATGTAAATAGGCCATACGTGTGGCGACCTACTTTAGAGAAATTTTCTCCATTACTCTCATCGTTTTTTTCCTTATGGTGCTAAAAGAAATATAACTTCAAACATAGCCATTTTTACGGTAAAACAAAATTGTTTAATAAATGAACAAAAATTAATGAATATTTAAAAACTACTAGTAACAGTAACCGTTGTATACCGCTACAGATGGACACTTGTTTAACTGGTTTTCCATAGTTCGCCTTACCTCTATTCTCCATAGATAAGTACTTATGTAGTATGTACCTACTACCTACTAAGTCAGTTTTAAATATGGAGGGTAGAACTAAGGAGAACTAACTTATATGGGAAACAAGTTGAAATTTGATAAAGTGTCCAGTGGTGAGCAGCAAATTGTAATTCAAAGACTAACTTATATAGCGCTAGCGTAGCAAGTAGAACATAGATATGATCAGTTAGATATTATTATAACAGTGAAGCTATTTGTCATCCGTGATGTGAAGTTAGCAGTATTTCGTATTCGGAGTGAAATGTGCTGAATTATTATTACTCGAAAATATTAAGTAAATATAACTATTATATTATAGATCGGTGTTTGCCTATGTTAGAACTATTTTGAAAAGTACGTCACAACAAAGCGGACATTTTTCTTCCCTTGTTTAATTCACCGTCTTACTCTTATGACTTTTGGCGCTATGTTTTAAATTCATCAACTTGTTTTCTGTGGTGCCACCAATTTGATGCTTGTCAGCGGTCACTTTGTATTCGAGAGATAGTTCTCCTTACTTCTACCGCTAGTCGCTACTAGGGATGGGACATTTCACGAGTAGCAAGTGAAAAATCACGTGAAATGCGTAATCATACGTCACACCTGCTACTTAAATTCATAGTGGCTGCTACAAATCACAACTTGGTGAAATCTAGAGCTGTAGCAAACCGTATGTATTCGTTACTGAGTAACGGGTACGCCATCTAGTACCGAGTACCGAAACGTTACTCACGAATGCATTTCGTTACTCGCATTTTCCGTATACATTTTCGTACTGATGTTTTTATTGATTTTTTATTCAACAAAATACAATTTTCAGTTAATACCGTTGATCAGTAAATTGGGGAGTTTATTTATTTCGAGTTGCATGATTTCGGATTCTTAGAAATATTGTTTAGAAATAATTTTAAATTAGAAACAACAATTAAATTTAGAGCACATTTTTAGTTTTTTATCCAACAAATACTTATAATTTTTACTGAATGATTATGTGTAATACGTACAGACATAACCACCAACGCTGAGAACGAGCTAGAAATGTTTATTAATGAACCAGTGCTTCCGCGCGATTCTTCGCCATTAGTTTGGTGGAAATCTCACTCCTATATGTACCCCAATTTGGCGGAAATATTTCATGAGCACTGTCACATCGTGGTGACATCAGTGGAGTGTGAGAGAGTATTTTCAAAAGCGGGAAATTTTGCAACCCAAAAAAGAGCACGATTAAGCAGAAAACGAACAGCGGAACTTGTATTTTTAAAAAGCAATGAAGACTATTGTATATAGATATCTCATAAAAAAATCAATCATCAAAAAAATCAAAAAGCAAAAAAAATGATTATAAACAAATTAAAAAAATTAAGAAAAACAAAAAAAAAGTGTATAAAATTCTTTTATAAAAATTCTTATTGTACATAAAAACAATGAACTTTTAAATACGCCAATGTAATTATGGAACTTAGCTTAATACAATTTTACCGTGTGATTACTCTGATATATTTAAAATTCATTTAATTTTACATTGTCAGTCCCAAGCCTGTAGAAGTATGAGGGAAAGTTCATTGTTTGAAAATAGGTTCATTCAAAGCACCATGTACGTATGCAACTACGTCAGATCTATATCTCTGCTCCATATCACATCAGTAGCGCCATTGGTGACATTTCATACTTCATTTTAATAGCAAATAATATAAAGTGTGACACCAGACCGTCGAAATCAAAAATCTATGCGTGAAAAGTAGCAGGTGAAATCACGTGAAAAATTGTTGTAATTTCATCACGTGATAATGATTTAAAAGTAGCAATCATTTCCATGCTTAGTCGCTACCCTCCATAGTTTCAAAATAATAGCGGCAGGCAGAGGATTTGTCAATAATAATTGACATTTGACATAGTTTTAAATTTTGTTTTAACTTTTTAATTTTTATTTATCATCTTGTTGTTCTTCGTCTATGATCCATGTTTTTAAATGTCATTTGTTTATGAGGAACTAACTATTAACTAAACTTAATAGTTTTACGAAAGCAATTTTTAGTGAAGCTTAGAATTGAAATAATTTAAGACATGTCACCAAACCCACCAATTAAACCGAAAGAAGAAGATTGCTGTAATAGTGGTTGTAATCCATGTATATTTGATGTATATGACAGAAAGCTACAGGTGTATGAAAAGTTAAAGAAAACAAATGTTGAAGACTGTAACAATTGTATTAACAATGGTATATTGGAAATTGAATACACAACTTTTGTAATATTAGATATTATAAAAGTTTCCAGTTCAATAATAATTCTTAAATTTAAAAAGCTGAGCAGCAACAAGTATACAGTTTGGTGGAACCCTGGTGATCATTTTCTCATTAAATGTACTAGTTCTCATAATACTTGTAGTAGACCCTATACACCTATAAATTTACAAAAAAATTATTTTAAAGAATATGATTTTCTTATTGCAGTCAAAAGATATGATAATGGTTTGGTATCAAATTACTTATTTAATTTAAAAGTAGGAGATGAAACTTTTTGGCGTGGACCATATGGTTTTTATAAAAGAGAATCAAATAAATATAGTAGAATTATTATGATAGCACAAGGAATAGGAATTGCACCATTCTTATCAATAATTAATGACATTTTAAGTAATGAAGATGATATGACTAGAATATCATTATTCTTATGTTGTAAAAATATTGATGAAATTTTATTCAGAAATGATCTTTATGAATATAATTCCTATTGGAATTTTTCATATACAGTTTTTTTGAGTAGTGATAGTAGAGATATTTATAAGAAAACAAGGTATCAAGAACCTTTAGTGAATAAGAAATTTGTCATAACAGACTTGGATAATTTAAAACCATTATCTGCTGATCAAATTCTTCTGTGTGGCTCTGAAAAGTTTATGCAAGAATATAAAAATCTTCTAGATACTGAATCAGAAAATATAGTCTTATTTTAAAATAATAAATTTTAAGTTATACAAAATGTTTAATGTACCCATTTTAATATAGATATATATTTCTAACATAATTTATTCATTAATCTAGAATCAAATTATTTCAAGACATACATATACCTAGTGGCAATAAGGTTTCGAGGACTCTGGAACTCGCAACACTGTGACGTTCGTCAACATCTGTATAGAAAAAAGAACTCGTCCTTCATTCTTTTTAGTAAAATCGCAAAAAGCCCTCAGAAATCATTCGGAAATTACAGGTGGTGTATGGAGACAACTCCACGTAGAAAACACCCGTGTTCGAATGGGCAAAGCGGTTCAAGAAAGAGCGTGAATCGTTCAAAGAGGATCTATGTAAAGAACCTCTCGTTTGTGTGTTATCTGGCCAGTTGAATATAAACACAGAAACCATCCGGACGATGTTACACGAGGATTTGAATTGACGACAACGCGCTGGCCCATTCCTCATTCATTGTAAGGAGTGTTTGGCGAAAAAATGTAGTCTAAAGATGCCGAACCCACCCTATAGCCCCGATATTGCCACTTACATCTTTATTTCATTCCCCAAGATGAAGCTAAACCTCAAGCGAACTCATCATGGTGGCGTAGAGGAGTTCAAAGATGCTGTAACTGTGGTGCTCAACGAGTTAACTTCAGAGGATTACCAAGGGTGCTTTGAATCATGGGTGCTACGCCAACGTAAAAATCCTTGTATAGGAATAAAGGGAGACTACTGTGAATGTCGATAGTAAAATTGTGCAAGAAACTTGATTTGTCTGTTTTTTATTGACAAATTCCCAGGACTTATTAACCTCGTATGTCTTCAAGTTCTATAAATGAGAAGAGGCCCAAATTCTGTAGTTTTTAAGATGCATTTATTTAAAAAAAAGCATGTTTCTTAATTCTTATTCATTTATATTTTTCTATGGATGTAAGATGGCTATCTGGACCACTGGAAAGTCTCACACATAGTAATGATTCATAACCAAGGTAAACCAGATAATATACCGTCACCATATAGACCTATCAGCCTATTACCGCCTATTGACTCTTATATTAGACCTAAAAATCTTTCCTAATCATCACAAGTACACAGCTGTATTTCTTGAAATACAACAGGTATTTTACAGAGTGTAGCATATGGGGCTGCTTTGTAAAATAAAACAAACATCTTCCACACACCTATTATAGTGATCTCAAATTGACATTCATAGTGGCAGGATATTTCAAATCAAGGAAAAAGATACTAGATCTAGATTCTACGATGTTAGGGCGGTTGTCCCTCAGAGATATATCCATATCCACTGCAATAATAACAATTTCATAAACACAAAATATATGGATAGTTAAAGAAATGGAGAATTAAAGGGAGCATCACCAAGTCTTCACATACGAACCTTTATTTTACGCCAAGACAAATGCCTCAACACACGACTCTGCAAGCTACTTTATACTACGCTGATTGTTGTTTCATGTAAACTGGCAATTCGTTTGAAAGAATGATATAAAAACACATGAAACTTAGAAGCTACAAACCTATGGTTCTTGGGAAGATCGTCTAAGCTCTCATTTGAAAATCTTACACCTGGCTGCGAAGAGGTTGCGGCCAAATGCGCAACGGTAGCTATCATTTTTCCAGATCTCTACGTATAGTTCTGTGAAGTGGAGTAAAATTTATTGTAATAACAAATGCATCGTTCTTGTTTCAAAAAGTCAACTATTATTTAGTCAATTTAACATACTAGCGGGCACATTTGAATAGGCACCTCGGTCAAAACATATTGTCCCTTTTATTATTGTATATAAAAAATTGATTTCGATTAAATACGCTATGACCGTAGCAATCTTGCAGCGGGATCTCGATCCACAAGATAGGATTGTCATTATTCATACTGATCGGGAAAAGTGATTAGCCAAGTAGTTTTAATTACATTGCCACTGGTTGCCCACTAGATACGGCCGATATGAGTACAGACCGGTCATTATTCATAATGACTTTCAAGTTGCCCATAACATATAAATATAATTGAAGCGTCTGTAATCTATACATATGTATAATAAAATTGTAACTAAGCCTTAAGCCGAATCTGTATATTAAATAGTTTTTGGAAAATATTATTGGAATAAACTTTATTATCGATACAGAGGCCGAATCTATAGTTTTTAGAATTTTTGTCTGTCTATCTGTTCCCACATCACAGAAAAACCACTGGAGGGATTTTGATGAAATTTGGTATGGTGGTAGCTGATTATCCGGGTCAACATATAGGATACTATTTTTACCCCGGAAAAATGTCTCATTTCTGAGAAAAAATACGAAAACTGCAATGTAAGAGTATACTAATATGTAAAACCTAAGAATTTAGTTTTAAGTCATCTGAACGCGGGCGAAGCCGCGGGCAATGCTAGTTTTAAAATAAGTGTATTTTCTCAAGTACATAGTGTTATTTATATGATACCAGTACCAAAACGATCCCTAATTAAAGATTTTGTCTATCTATGTCTGTTTGTCCGGGCTTATCTTTGGATTGGTTTAATCAATTGTAATGGAGTTTTCACTGAAGATAGAGGAATTTGTAGGGCTTTATCTATGGTATGTTTTATTCCGGAAATTTCAGCGCTTAATTTTTTAAACTGCTAGGGACGCACCAGAGCATAGCAAGGATAAGTCGCTAGCTATAAATAAAGTAGTCATAAATTTGTTACATGTGTTAAAATTTACTGTACCTCAGAGCTATTAGATATAGAAAATTTGAAAACGTTATTTTAAGAATGAATTTAAATAACTATATTATTATATTTTTATTATGGCAATACTATTTGAATGTTGAATGCGCCAAAGTGTTCGCGTCTACTTCGGTATTATATTAAAATATGTAATATGGATTTTTTTCGCGCCGGCGCGAACGGCGAAACGTACCTTGCAAAATTTCACGAAGTCACCCGAATATTTCATAAAATACGAAATTATACAGTGTTTTTTGGGCCATATTCTTAATGTTTATTTTATTATAGTTTGATAGTCATCATAAATTGGTTTTCTTATTATGCTTTATTTTTTAACAATTTAATTAAAAATAATAATGCTGTACAAAGTGTAATTTCTGAATTATAAGTGTATTTTACTGTGAAACAAAATGGGATCCATCGTTTTGAAGAGTTTGTCTGTTCTACTGGGCGTTTTCTTTATATTTGTTGGCATAACTAAATTAACGCCATTTATTTCTAAAGAATTGCATAAAGATTTGGTAAGTACCTAGTGTTTGTTATGGCACTTTCTTGATAAAGTTAAGTCAAAATTAAAAAGGTCGCCCGCTAGTTGCATTAAGATTTTTGTTGCGGAGCAATGTGGCTTGCTATTTTAGTATTTGGCCTGACGCCTAATGCCCAGTGGTGATGCTGTCTCGCTGCGACAGTGAAAATGATTGGGTGCTTTACTTCTTTATTACTTACTAAATTTATTGTAATATGTAATAAAGGAAAACTACTGTCAAACGACTGTCGCATCTTTATAATAAGAAAAAAACACCTTTTGCTACATAAGAATTTCAAAAGTAATATATAAATATTATAGGATAAAGAAAAATATTTACTTCAAGTAACAGTATATGTATATAAAATATTATAATTTATTTACAAGTAAACATTAAAAATATATTACTACGTGGTCTTTAGTTAAGGCCAACAATTTAGTGTCACCGTCATCTTATTTTAATATGTAGGTATTGCTTAAAGAAAATTTATATTAATACAAGTTTTTCTTTTAATATTTTATTTTAGGAAGTAAACAATTATTATAAACAGAATAATTTATATTTATTGACGTTAGCGTGTATTTATTTCTGACGCTTACTCGGCTTCTTTCGGCCTCTCTCTTTCATTTCTTTTTTTTGAAACTTAAAATAATTGGGTTAAATTTTGAAAACACCAAAATGTGTCCAGATTTTGTAACTCTATGATAACAATTTTTATGTTAAATAACCAAACACGATTTATTGTCTACTAGCGAGTCACCATCGCTCTGCTGACTGCTCGGATCGTCCCTAGTTACGTTTTAACGTTTAGTATAGATTTTTCAAACATGAGATATTTTCCCACTGTAAAAGTATCCTAAAGGTTGACCCGGATAAGCGCCTATCGTCATACCATCAAAATCTGTCCAGTGGTTTTCTCGTGATGCGGTCACAGACAGACAGACGGACAAACATTCTAAAAACTATAGATTTGGCCTCTGTGTCGATATAATAATTAACACTTTTTCACAAACTCTTCACCCCCTTAGGCGTAGTATTTTAAAAATATTTTTTTAATGATTACTATTATTAATTATGCTATTATAGCAATACGCTACGCATATGTTAGCCCTTTTAGAATTGTTATGTAGGCAAATTATTGATTAACTAGCGACTCACCCTCGCTTCGCTCGGGTTCGTCCCTAGGTACGTTTTAATTTTTTTGAGCGGAACCCTAATTCTTTTTCTAAAATGAAAGTAGCCTATGTTACTCCCTATAACATCAGCTATTTTCCAGAGATAGTCTCGTCAAAATCAGTCGAACCGTTTTAGAGATTATCCGGAACAAACAGGCAGACAAAAATAAAAAATGTGTTTTTCTTATAAGTACCGTATATTATGTCATATGCATTTAGTAAAACGCTATTATTTTTATATTACAAACAGACACTTTAATTTTATTTATCTGTATAGATTAAGCCAATATTCTCAATTTGCAATTTTCATTGTAAACACGTTGATTTTTGTTACAATTAATGTGCCCATACTTTACATTATAAGTCTTAAAACAACAATACATTAATTATAGTGTAATGAAAATGATGTTGGCGTGTCATTAATTTTAAAATTGTGTTCGACATGTGAGCTAGTTATAAATGCTTGAGATATCTCTGCATACAAATACCTACAGGTCTCGCGCTCGTGAAACTTTAAATAAACATTTACATATATACCTATGTATTAAGTAGTACATAAAGGTATAATTTATTTAAATAAATAACATGTTATTAAATGAAATTTCTACAATCTCGTATTGTGGATGTGAAGGATGGAGATGCACTGTCATTATGTCATATTATTTCTTTGAAGTTAGTTTTGTCTGTTTGAACACGCTAATCTCTGGAACCGCTACTCAAAATCATGTTACGATCTTAGGAGTAGGGCAATTAGTTATATATGAATAAACTATGTAAAGCTGCATAAGAAAGAATAAATCTTGCTCTTGCGACTTGCAGTTCTACTTCACTTCGTTTGCTTATTATAAATATTTACTTATAATAAATATAATTTCCTGTACAAATTCTGAGGTCTCTAAAGGGTAAAATTTTGCTGTTTGGTGTATGTATGTAGTATATACATAGTCTTGCCCTAAATATTGTTACAAAGAAAAAAAAAACATTTTTTCTATTGCACGTAACATTTATTACTATTACAGTCCCTAAAACAAGCCATACAATTGGCAGTGAAGAATTTTTCCATGGAAAGAGTGCGTGAGAGAACTCGCCTCATTGTTTAAAGGACTGTAATGCAGCCAATGGAGACCATTTCGAATAAGCTTTATATATTTTTAATGATTTTATATTAATGCATTAAGCTAATACACTGTAATAATAATAAATGTTACGTGCAATAGTAAACAGGTTTTTTTCTTTGTAACAAAATTTAGGGCAAGACTATGAATATATTATATTTCTTCGTCAACTTGTTTTTAACTTTTTTGTTAGTTTTTATGCAGTCGGCTTTTATTTAAATATATTTTTTAATTTACAGCTTTTCAGTTTTTGCCAATTAGACATTTGAAGTACCATTTAGCAATTTTTTATCCTACATTACTTTTGAGCATATAAGTTGTATATATTTTTGTAATCGCCTCTTAAAAACCTTTATTTTGGTACCACACTCGATTGGTTTGGAAGAAAAAATAGTCAGGCTGAGAGCGTATTATTTTAACCGAATTTAAAGAATTATTATTAGGTATTAAGGTATTTTTAATGTATTTTATTTTCAGAGGAAAGAATATGTGAAGTACGCCAAAGTGTTTCCATTATCGGGGATGTTGGATTTCAAAGTTCCATCAAAGTGGTATCGGAGGACGGTGGGCGGGCTTGAAATTTTATTTGGGCTGGCACTTGCTACTATACCCAGCCGTAAGTTACATTTATGACGTTTTTAATATAAATATTCTAAATCTAATAAAGAGTTATAATAAGGTTATCTGCCGATCTTATGTAGGTACCTACTGCAACTTAAAGACTAAATATTGGGATTATAACAAAAGCCGTCAGCAGTGTAAGATATTCAGGACCGGCATTAGCCACCTGGGCGTCCCGGGCGAGTCATGCCCTTGGCGCCCTTTTAGATATACTTATTTCATTACAATTAAAAAAAACGGGTTTGTAGAATTATTTAGTGAGAGATACGATAAAACGCTGAGTCTAGTTTTCCTTTAGATCGATAAAAATAAGTATTCAAATTAAATTGTTAAGTTGAGCTGACGCGCGCGGCGCCCTATATAACCTGGCGCCCCGGGCAGCCGCCCCGGTCAAAAGCCGGCACTGAAGATATTTACTGGCTAACAGAAGAGTTAACATTTTTTTAAATGAGACTAATTTCTACTATAGTAGGGTGTTGATCTCTTAATTTCGGGTTATATAAGGTATTCAGAAATACCTAAATACGTGAGATTCTTAAAGTGGAGTAATAATGCGATGGTACAACAAAATTTAAATAATTTAAAATTTTAAAAATGCTTTTTTATTTGTGTAAAAACATTACCTACCAACTATTATTGTGATATTGATATGGATCATTTAATACTTTCTTAGATTTACGCGAATATTTGACATTTTAAATAAAAATATCTTTTCGGATTACGATTATTTCGCGGATTCGCGAAATAATCCGAAAAGATAGTTTTTTTTTTAAATGGATCATTTACCTAATTATTTGAAGAAAGATAGATAGATACCTAGTATAAACCTATACCTATCCTTTTTTTTTTTTTTTAACGTTGGGAAATGCATTTACGCACGACGTGTGGGACTCACCGGCGTAATACAGTCAGTACTACCCACTAAAACCCAACAAAACCTTCCTCCGTCTTAATGGGGCGTCGCAGGATCGCTTACGCATTCAACTACGACGCCCCGACGGCAGGTCTGCCAAAGCAGACCACCACAACCTTGGGGTTGCTCCAAGGTCCACTCTGCTATCAGAGAAGTACCAGGAGCAACCCGCAAGGTACACCGCCCCCCGAAGAGGGCCACCTCCCACCGCCCACCGAAGTGGGCAACCTCCCTGTGCGTTTCTTAGCTTCGTACTACTACTACTGAGCCCCCCCACCACGACAAGGTGAACGCACGTTGGGGGGACCTATACCTAACCTAATATAACCTACAAAAGATTTTGTTTCGATTTTTTTTTCATTTTATTTTCTTTTTCTCTTCCCCTAAATATTACTTACTATATACTATCTATATAGTAATAGCTATGAAATTATTCTTATTAAGATAAAGTGAAGAACACAGCAAACATCGGTCTAGTATTACTGATGATTCTCGCTACGTACTCGCATCTGATGGTGGGGGACCCCTTCGACCGCTGCGCGCCGGCGCTCGTTTTCTTCTTTATGCTAACTGGGAGACTCGTGGTCTGGTAAGTAGCCATACCTATAAACCGTAAGTTACTTTTTATCTGAACACTAATTTTTGGGAAGTTAAATTGATCCAGGATATAAGATATATTCAGTTTAAATTTCATTGAATTTAGTAGAGCCGGTACAGGCAAAGAGTAGAAATAGGCAACAAAGCACTCACTGACACATTTTCCCATTTATAATATTCGTGATAACTTCTAATGTAATTTTCAGAGTGTAAAATACTACTCATGAACTAGAGAACGCTAAAAAAAGCGTTGATCATTATTTTTATGAATGTACTGTTTACGTATCCACTGGCCGTTTAAATCAATCATTATGCGAAGTTTGAAAGTATAACGTTTTTAATTTTTAATAATCTTTTATTTTCGATTTCGTTTACTTTTCTTGGCGCTTTGCTTATTTGCGTGTTTTAGTTTCCGAAACTTTTTTTAAAGATTTAGGTATTTGTCGAATTCTAATTTTTGCTTTTTTACGAACACGTTGATTTTCTTGAAAGCTATTAAGTAGTTGAAAAGGTACTGAGGCTCAATCTTTTCAAGTTTCAAAATCTGTTGTTTTTTATAATGTAGGTAATACGTTATCAGCAAAGGTAGTAAATTTGGTATATCTACAAGACGCAGTGGATAAGGTTGCAGTCTAGTAACTATAACAATGGATGACGTATTTCTTGGGGGCATTTAGACTCGACTAAAGTCCAAACTGAGCTCCAAGAAATTCGAAAAGTTGAACCTGAAATCAGTAAGAAAGATTCAAAATGATGGGAATAATTGTTATTTGCTCACTCGCCAGTTGCCTTACCTTATGGGGGGAAATGGCATCGAGTCGTGTAGGGCAAGTCAATTTTACTCTTTTATTATTTACATGAGAGATTGATGTCTTGTGATAATTAGGTTTTGTCTTAAGCCAGATGATCAAAGGGTCAAAGTGTGGAAATGAACCCTGGAGAAAATTATACTTGATACAATACGTGAGTGAGATCTTAAAGGAGTATCTACCTATACCTATATTGGTGATTTTCTTTTAAAAGTAAAGCGAGCAATACACTCATTCGCATACTGCAACGCGATAGTTTAAGGTTACTAAGAGAGGTTTTAAAAAAAAAGGAAAGGTTTGGTTATCATAGTCTCCTGACATAAACCCATATTTATCTCTCAATTATGTTTTTTTTTTGTATTTTTCTTTTTTTTGAATTCCTCTAAAGACTTTTAAGTCTGAAGTTACGTTGGGTATAGTATAATGCCTTTTTTGTTAGTTGGCAATCACAATAATATTAGATACATTAGGTACATCTTTATTTAATCGATTTCTTAATTGGGCACATACTAGAACATAAGTAGTTTTGTTATAGTTGTATGTATATACCAGAAAGTTGTCTCATATATTCTTTTTGGAACAGGCGTTTATAATAAAACTGTCTATTTTATTTCATAATCGCTAAAAATGTTTTTACTGTCTAATTTACATCTGTACATCATAACAGTTTATACAGAAAATATATACAAAGTTGTCAGAGCGAAATAGCCGCATGGTCATGGTCTTATCGTGGGTAGAGGGATTGCGTCATTGTATACTTAAACTAAATTAACCAAAACCGCTCCTTCACGTCAAGCTCAGCTTTGATCTAACCATAATGCGCTCATTAACTTGTACATTTTAGCGGTTATTAAGCGTCGAAGCCCGGCGTTCAATGAAACGGGCTAGTCTTCATAACGAGATTCCCAAACGTACCTACCTATAAAATGTTACTTTTATACGTTTTTGTAGCCAGATAATAACCGCGTGCACCTTGACTTCTTTACGCGATGTAAACATGAGTTACGAAATAAAATTAGTTCTATCGCGCGGGTATCTATATGGCTGGATGCCAAAAAATTTGCTATGACGAATCACTTGTCGCGTAAATAATAATGGACCTATTTCGATTCATCCGCATGTGGTTGTCTTCAATCGGTGAACAATTTTTCATCTATACATATAATAAAATTCTTACTGAGCCGAATCTATATATGAAATATTTTGTGGAAAATCTTATTGAAATAGACATTGTTAACGATACAGAGGCCGAAATTATAGTTTTTAGAATTTTTGTCTGTCTGTCTGTTACCGCATCACGGAAAAACCACTGGAGGGATTTTGATGAAATTTGTATGATGATAGCTGGTTATCCGGGTCAACACATAGGATACTTTTTACTGTGGGAAAATGTCTCATCTCTGAGAAATCTATACTAAAAGTTAAAACGTAAGTAGAGTCGCTAGTTTTAAATAAACATTACCCACTCCCCAGTATAGTTTTGAAACATTATGTCTAGGCAGTGCCGGATTTAACCTTAGCGCCGCTCCTGTGCATAGTAAAAAATGCCGCCCTACTTACTATCGTTATTTTGAATAATATGTAAAAAAATATATTATTATTAAATTTTTGAAAAATGCAAAAAAATAATTTATAAATGATATCTATTTTTTGAAAAATGTACTTCTTAGTTAATCTTTTTATATTTTTCATTTTTTGTACAATAAAAAAAGCATTTTCGATAATGCAAAGAATTTGGCCGCTTCTAAAAATTTGCCGCCCTAGCCTCGAGTGCCCCTAGTGTAAATCCAGCGCTGTGTCTAGGTGTTATTTTTTTACTTCACAAGAGCTATCATGGGCGACAACTGAATGTTATCAAATTCGATATAATACTATATTATTTGTCTCAAAACTATATTTATATGCATTTATAATTATATATAATCTTCCTTTATAAAATGTTAATAAACTTAAAAAATATTTTTTCGTTGAAGGTACCAGACCATCCGCCGCGAGGAGCTCGAGAAGGCCGCCGCCATGCAGAACGGCAACGGGTTGAAGAGAGACTAAAATAATTTAATACTTGAATTCTATCAATAACAGTCACACAATTGGAAAGAGCACAACTACATACATGAATGACCTGATTTTGTAGAACGTTCGAAGTATTTTATATGAATCCATACTGTGATTATTTCTAGTCATCATTTTAAACATTTATCCTATTGCTTTAGTTTGCTTTTAGTATCCATAGCATTATCTTCTCGCACGTCTACAGTTCTAGTCTTGAGCACTCTCGATTTATCTAAATTTAATTGATTACTTACATATTGTATAATTCTAAGTTCTAGGCGCCATAGAGATCGTACCTAAAAGTGATATTAATTTAAGCGATATAACTAAGTTCATTTGGTGTGTGAGAGTAGTGTGCACGCTAGTACGTTTGTGACGTAGACGTAGGTCCTTGTACTGCCACTTTTACGGTAGACTTAGTATATTTATTAGTGCACAGTATATTTGAATAATATATACGGTAAATACATTTTGCTCAATTATTATGAAAGTGACACTACATATGTACGGATTTTTGTGGATTTTAGACCTACAGTATTAATAAGGGGTGGTTTTATTACGATATACATAATATTATAAAAGTATAAAAAATAAAAATAGGAAAATCCAAACCAAAACTAAGCAAAACTTAATTCCAATCACCTCTTATTTCGACAGTTGGCTAATGTTAATAAATTAAATACATCGGTTAAGGTTATACAAATATTTTATAAGCACACGAGTACTAACAAATCACCCACATTTGTTAAATATCGAAATTTCTAGTCATAAGTTATTTATGGTAACTGTCTCACGACCGGCAACATGGCGGTCGCAGCCACTCTCACTGGTAGCTTAACAGTGAACAATGGACAGGAACGCGGCCATTTAATATCTACAATATCACCCAAACGAGTTGTTTTATATAAAGTGTGTCGTGTTGAAATGGTCAAGTGAATAAATGGTATACATAATACGAAGTTTTATTTACCTCAAGTTAAATACATACATATAAAAGCAACTAAGTACTAACATTTACAATATTAGATTACATAATTTTAATATATGTATTTATGTAGAGCATTTAGTATGTTTGTTAGAACGAAGAATATAATATAACTAACTTAATACATTAACAATTCTAAACTAAAATACATAATTTTATGTTTAAAAAAATATATAATAACTTTTATATAATATCCACCATAATCAATTGTAGTAGGGGAGCCCAAGAGGGGATTTTTGCAGTAACTCAAGCGCGGCAAATTAACATAGGGGCCCCATTGGGCTAGCGCGATGCGAAAATTCAATTCCAAATATTTTTTAAATATCTTAGGCTGCCCTACCATTATTATTAAGTAATTTAATACATTTAAAAATATTTAATATAGCCATAATTTGAACATGATCTATATTTTGTCACTTTTGTACCTTTCTACACAACAGATATAAAATTAGCATGTGTTTTTAACGCGAACAAAAAATATATATTATGAACTCATTATTTCAATAACAAGATATTTTTGTACCATCTTCACAAAATAAACAAGACGATCAATCAACAATATGAAATAAACAAAAAATTAAATCACTAAGTTTTATTTAGAGATCTGGAGGAGCTAATATTAGACAATAAAAATGAGAATTTTTAATATCTGCGATAGGTTTCTTTGAGTATTTATAAACTTTTGACATCCAACAAATATAATTACGTATTTACATAAAACAATGTAATTTTATAAAATATTTGCCCTATTGTAAAAATAGTACCTACTTACAACTTCGTTATTCCTGCGGGGTGAACAAAGAGCAAGGCGCTATGATCGCTCTCTAAAAAGGTTTCAATTTTAAAATGTTGATCTCTAAGGCTGGGTTCACACGGCATTGTCCTGCACGTTTTTTTTATTATTCGATTTGAAACGTACAATCAGCCGGGTGTTCATACGGTAGATATTCATTCGTGTTAAAACAAATATCCGCAGTTTTCATACATTGTCATAGTGAGTAGACGTCAGTGATGGAACCACGCTTGGTTGTACTTTCATATTTTTATCGAAGGCGCCAACGGTTGTTATTCGTAATTCGATAAATAACGTATGACATCGTGCCGTGTGAAAGAGACAGAGCTATGCGCCACTGCAAACCGAATACGTTAATGTTTATTCGATTTCCTTGACAAATCCGGTGAGTATTCGGTTAAACGTATAAAAGGTGTGCGATTTTTTGCAGTATATAAAAGACGTGTGAACGGTTCTATGTACAATGTATGTGCCACTATGTATTCGTTAAAACATATACTGCAAAAAAACGCGCAGGACAATGCCGTGTGAACCCAGTCTAAGGAATTGTAATCCTTTATGAATTTCATAAGTTTTCATTTTTTTGACATGGGTATTACTTATAGAAAAAAGTCGTAAATTTAAGACTCGTAAAGAAATGCGAAAAACGATTTTAAAAACAGTGCTAATTATCTTATCGTACATTTAAAAAGCATTCACATCAGAAAGCCTTCTAAAACTTACATTAAGGCTGAAAATCCTAATATTTTTGTAGGTGTTTAAGCATTTCGTGTGAGATATGGCCTCAAATCGTTACAAACGTGCTTGGTTAGCAAATATATTTTTTATATTCATAAATTAAACTATACTACAAACTTATTATAAAAATCATTTCATGATAATAACAGTTGGTTATGCATAATACCTAAATATTTAAGCAGGATCTCGTCCAGTCTGTAATAACTCTAATGCATTCCTCAAATTGCTTATAGCAGTTTTAGTATCATCATAATTGAGTGCACTACTTGCCCATTTGCAGTACTTTTGAGCCTTAGCTATTTGATCGGGACTAAGTTGTGCCACAGATGTAGAATTGTCGCCATAGAATGTTGCGGAAGGTGGCTGTTGTGAGGGGTCATATGGGATGAAGCCTCCAGGGTTAGGATCTGGGGTGTAGGGGACTGGAGGCAATTGCGAAGCAGCCCTCATTGCTACATTTGGATCTGGAAGGCTATTGTTAAAACTTGTTGGAACAGTTGGCAATAAGTCCTGTGGAGTTGCAGGGGTCACTGAAGTGAATCCAAATGTCCCGCTTGCACTATTTGAAGCTCCTGGCTGGTCACTAGTTGCAGACTCCTCATCATCTTGACTTGGATTATCAGATTGCATAGGACCTTAAAAAAATAATTTTCAAGTGAAGTTATATTCTTATTACTTCTTTTACTTCAGCACCATGATTTTTCAAAAGCAGTTTGATGAATGACAAAATTAATTTTGTGACAACAAACTAACAACAAATTTGTTTTTATTAGTGTTTCCAACTGCCAATAAGTGTATAAGTATTAAAAATGGATTTTGTCTCAACTAAAAAATCCAAAAACATCTCTATCTTATTTTAAAAGAGCTATCAAAAGGTCTCGTCACAAGCTTTTGTGCAATTTATTTTGTTTTAACCCTCACATGTATGGTGTGCTACTTCCTATTTGACGAATTCATTTAATGTTCTTGGATTAGGGAACTTTAAAAAGTACATATTATCATTAAGTGACAAATTAGCACAATATTCAGTTGTCTATCAACCCAAGTACTATTTATATTATATGTGCAATTCAAGAAATAGCTATCCTATCATATTTACACTTTCCACTTCTAATATCCATCCTCAATGTAACTAACTTAATGCACCAGTAGAGTATCAAGTTATGGATCACTGAAATTCATGCTCTTTAATAGATATTTATTTCTTCATTTTATTTCATTCTTAACTGCCTCGGTGGTGTAGTGGCTAGCACGTACGGCTGCACACTCGGAGGTCCTGGGTTCGAGTCCCGGGTTGGGCCAAGTTTAGTTATTGAGTCTTTCTGTATAGTAAGTCCCAGTAAGAGCCTGGGGTTGGGAAGTTGGCGGTGTTTCACCCCCGTGCCTCGGAGAGCACGTAAAGCTGTCGGTCCTGCGCCTTAACTCTCACTGGTCGTGTCGAGCAGTCTCCCCACCGGAGTATGAGAGTGACAGGAATAGAGAGTGCATTTGTGTCTGCGCGTACACTTGTGCACTATAATATCTCCTGCGCAGTTGGCTAGTCTCAACGAGATTGGCCGCCGTAGCCGGAATCGGCAAGGAGAACATAATTTCTTCATTTACCCTTAAGAGATTTTAAATTTCTTTATAGAAAAAAAATAGATAAAAATTGGGATTTAATTACCTGGAACTGGAGTCTCGCCAGTTTTAAGGCAGTTGTGAATATAAGCAGCCTTCCATCTTGCATACTTGCGATTCTGTGAAGCTTCCTCTGTTAAGTCTCCAAAAGTAGTAAGAACATCATAGATTACTCCTGCTGTATAAAATGCCTTTACAATATTCCTAAAAACAAATATTATATTTGATAGTTTATTATAATTGTATTATTTTTAGTTTTTACAAATATTTACAAATGTAAACGAACTTACTTTCCATAATTTAGTTCCCGATCTTGTTTATCAGCAAAAAGAAATAGTTTTAGGGCATAATTTTCTAAATGTGCTTGTGCTACTACTTCATTGGAAATAGCTTCATTGTCTTTATATGTCTTTTTAGCTTCTTCTAACCAGTCCATTACAGCTAAAATAAACAAATTTTATGTTTAAATTAATTAATTAATTTTAAAACTTTATTTATAGAATGAACAATAAAAATAGGAAATGTGAACAATGTATTTTTTATTTAACTTTAACAATTAGGTATTATTCAATGGTAGTGAAATTCTATATTAACGAATTCTTTCATAGGTAAGAAAGACCATCACAAGAACATTGTAGAAAAGCGCTAATTTTACTATCTAAAACGTATATTTGCTTTACTCTATTAATATAACATACCAAATAAGTTTGTAAAGACTTTTAGTAGTACTGATGTAATATATGATAGAAAAATGACAAAATATCATAAACAAATATTCATATTAGATAACATTATTTATACCCATCAGCAATTTTGTTTCTTCAGGAGTTTTCTTTGTAGTTAATTTAAGACCAACTTGTAAGGCATGAAGCCTGCACCAGTATGCTACAATTGGGTCTCTGCTGTCGTGTTCTGCTGCAGTTTTCAGAAAATGTTGAATTGATTTTAAACTTGGTGGACATTCTGGGATGTTTACTGACATTATCTTGCTTATAATATTTCCTCGCACGATCAATAATAATGGTATATGAAACAATAAGATATATCACAAAAAAATATTCAGTATTCACTAATTTAATAATGTTTTCAATGATTCACTCTTCAATTTCGTAGTTTTATTCTGACATTGACATTGGTCATTGACAATTATGTTGACAACAGCTATGTATATTATGTATTCCATTATGTATTTTAAGATTTCATATTTTCAATTTAATTTTATTTTATTTATTCGGGTAAATTTATTTGTATTCTTATAATTTATTTATTTAAATAATAATTTATAATTTTCTATTGTGGGCTAAAGCAATAAGACGACCCAAATTGGCAAAAACACAACCTTTATGCTTTTTACATCAGTCATCACAATTTTTCAGTTTTTGTCTTTGGAGAACAAATAATATCCATTTTCTTTGCATCCTGGCACTGGATAATTTGTCATTTTATTTAATTATTAAATAAAATGGAAATAATTCTATCCATATAGAAAGCTTTACAATATACTAGGGCTATAGCGATCGCGATATCTGGCGGGAGAAAAAGGCAAAATTCTTCCCCATTGCGTTTAAATTAGCTGAGTAAACTAATTATTGTTTAGTAGTTAGCATTAAATATTTACCTAATTTATGGTTTTTTAATGGTTTACTTTCTTTTTATAATTCTTTAAAATAATATTTCCATGGAATATTTTTGGAACGCGATTTTCACCCACTTCAAAACTTCAGATTGAACCTACATATAAATAATTATTTAAGCGTAGCTTCAGGTCTTTTTTTCAAAATAACATTAATTTTCTCGTTAATCATTTTATTCTCATAATAAAAATTATTTTTTACTTTTTAGTTCGGTTCATCATTAGAGCGTATTTAGTAGTTTTTTAATTTGTTTAGTCTGCTTACTCTATAACTTGACATTTAACTTGAGTTTGACAAATAAATGGTATACGAGTTGTGACCTACAGTGTGATCTAAAAACTTATTAAAATAATCATAATATTTTGTGTGTTCTGATTATATATTAATTTCTTAAAATGCCATCGAAGCAAAGAAAAATTGCTATGATGGGCTACAGATCTGTTGGTACAGTATACATTTTTGTTATGCGATATATTTTACGTCTTATTGTTGTGACGTTATGTTTTATAAAAAAAAATATTTACAGGCAAATCATCTCTTATTATACAATTTGTTGAAGGGCAATTTGTTGATTCGTATGATCCCACAATAGAAAATAGTAAGTAAAAACAATTTTTAAAAAAAAATATTTAGGATATAATTACGATTATTTGTTGGTTTTTAACAAATGAGTGATCATAATTATTAGTAATTCAACATTTGTAAATACTATATTCTTTTTGATTTGGTGAAATAAAAGAATTTCGTTTACATATAAATATTTTATTTGTATTTATTTTTATCATACTTGATTATTTTTACAGCATTTACAAAGTTTATTAGACTAAATTCTACAGAATATGAAGTGAAATTAGTTGACACTGCAGGGCAGGATGAATACAGCATCTTTCCCTTACAATATAGCATGGACTTTCACGGATATGTATTGGTTTATTCCATAACTTCAAGTAAAAGTTTTCAAATTGTTCAAATAATATATGACAAATTATTGGATATGGTAGGAAAAATTCAGTAAGTTTGATAATTAATAATGATTTTTGAACAAGTTAATATTTTAAAGTTTCTAGGATTATCATTTATTCATAACAACTGCTGATGATTTTTATATAAATTTTTCTACTTTTTATTATTTTCCAGTGTACCAATTGTTCTTGTGGGTAATAAGACAGACTTGCATTTGGAAAGAAAAATTAGTACAGAGGAGGGAAAACGCCTAGCTGAAAAATGGAATGCAGCTTTTGTAGAAACTAGTGCTAAGAGGAATGAGGTAACTTAATTTTTTTTGTAAACATGTATATTATGTAAGCAAGCCATTGTGCTTATAAATTAAACTTTAGACAAAATAAAATACAATAATCACTACCACAAAATAAAAATTAAAGGATGCAATTGTCTTAAGTATTAAACTCTATAAAATAGTTTGAAAATGTTATTTCATATGTCATTTTTATTGACAACTTTACTTGTTAAAGTTCAATAGGTGCAGGTGGGATCATAATATATTAGGATATTAAAAATTATTTTATAAATTTCAGTCAGTAACAGACATGTTTCATGCGATGCTGTCTGAAATAGAGAGATCAGATGGACACATGCCCGAGAAGAATGGATGTATTATTTCTTAATGAAAACACTTAAAGGACAAAGTGCTTATTTATGCTAAAGTGAAAATAAGTTATTGATAAATTGTGCACAGCTGATGTAATAGCAATAATTGAAAGTTACTTAGTAACTCCTTAAGGGTTTTCACACATTTAATAGTACCTATGTGTATATTTTTCTATTTTAACAAATTTTATTCGACAAATTAAAATTCTCAACTAAATAAAATGTCTAAAAATTTCAATTCAAATTTCAAAAAAATATTTATTCATATTTTTCAGATATATGTTAAATGTGTGACAACTCTAAGTATTGTTCAATTTTTAATGTACCTCATTAAGCGACTACAAATTGTGAGTGTTGGAGCATTTATGCAACATCATGCATTATAAGTTGCATATGTTTGAAAAGGACATAGATTCTAATTCTACTAAAATTCCATCATAGAATACATTTACACAATAAATTTTAAAATTGGTGACCATAGACAAAAATATATTTGATTATTTATTACAGTGAGGATAAAAGCTGTATAAATATAAAGTGCACATAAATAAAAAAAAACATGTCATAGATATACTTGAAAGAAAAGGAATTAAATGGGGATACAGCAATCAGCATTAGTCTCTGCATAAGTTTTACATAATATTAATCACGATTATAGTATTCATAGAATTACCAATGTTGACCAGTAGATATACATTTGTCTTTTGCTCATCAATAATCCTCGTTTATTTAGGAGTATGAAGGTAGGGCCAGCAGTAGTTAAAGGGTATTTAATATTATACTGCCGTACAGGAAACTTTATTACATATTTGTATAATTTATTTTTAAAACTGGCAGTTTGCTTGCAACTTATATAATTTATTAATTTTACTTACTAATTGTAAAATACATACATACAACACATTACTTTACCACATTTTGTTTACAGTTGAAGAGTATCAATATTACTGTAATGAATGGGGCTGTTTAGTTCATATATGTATTAAAATCATTACAACCAAGAAAGTGATTCATAATATTTTAAATAAAATGTAAAATAGTCTGTAAAAATGTTATACTGTTTAAGTATATAATACATATAATATTTTCATTTGAATGATATATGTATGTATATGGTAAATGAAAAATGTTTATTATTCAAATTATTCCTTGGTTCTAAGCATAATTCAAAAAATATTATATTCCCACTGTTTCTTTAATCGGGTATACTAATGTAATATTTATTATTTATAACTATATAAATATTATGTAATGCGAATATGAAAATATCCAATGTGATAGATTTTGAAAATATGCAAGATATGGACAGGTTTTGGTGATAAAATTATACCGAACAGGATCATATTCTCTGACTAGTGAATATATTATAACTCTCGTCATTTAAAAAGAACGCTGGCTGTCAAGTTGCGCAGAAGCGATTTATCGGTCAAATTGGTGGTAAGAGGTGGAGCGCGGGGTGGCACCGGGCGGCGGGGCACGCGCCGTACGCTTGCCGGCGCGCTAGTGGCTCGTCAGAAATACCATCGCGCACACAAAAGTTTTTAATTACGAAATGGTTTTATATATAGAAAAGAGAAAAAATATTTTTGACGTATATTGTTTTACAAAGAGGGAGTCTAATAATGCAGTTAATAATAAAAAAGAATGTATTAAACGTATTAATTTAAATTTTTTAAGTAGATTAAACATACTAAACTGAATCATATTTTAATAATGAATAGAATTCTATTTGATGATATTCTATCTAATATATTTTTCAATTACAAGGCAATAACTAATATATGAAGCCGCGAGCGAAATGCTATGAAAATTATAAAATAATAGGCTTAATACTTTTATGCGCGAGTATACCCATCCGCAAACATACCCCCTCTTTCTTTTTAGATGACACGAGTTATACATATATTTAACTAATTTCTATTTTTTACATATATTTTCACTTATAATGTTCTTGGCAAAATAGAAAAATATATTATGAATAATACATATATAGTAATTAGGCTATAAAGTTGAATTGGCACAGAAGCACTGAGAAGTTAGAGGTGAAACTTGCCTCGGTGCAATGTTGCCGACCCAAGGAAAAGCGCGTGAAGAGACTAATATAAGCGAACTCTTTACAATTATGTGATTGTATTTCCTATATTGAATACGGTTTTTTTATAAACTGTGATGGATAACTTTTGTATAGTTATATATTTACCTTTATTTTAAAGTCGCTTAGTAAATTAGTCTGTAACAATTTAAGTTGTAATGATTTTCTTGTTGACTCGATGAGACGCATTTAACGGTAGTTAATGAGGTTAGTTTAAAATTGTATTTCAACAAAAATATGAGTCACAAAAATTGTGACTTTATATTTTGATGTGCAAAGATAAGCTTTATTTGCATTTTTTCCTTCAAAAGTGTCATAGAGTTACAAATAGTGAAATTAAATACAAATTTTATTTTTTTCTTTAGATACGTAATTATTTAATGTATACTTTTGACGTAAAATATGGTGAAAAGTAAAAGGAGTTTCTACATACATACATATTCAACAATACTTTTATCGCAATGTGAACTATGTCCTTAAGAAAAGCTTAGCTTTAGAACGTTACAGATATTAGCAGTTTGAATTTTTAATTTTTACTGCTGACTGTGACTTTTTTGAACATATAGCTTATAAATAGCTTGTAATTATGTACATAACTATTTATTTTTATAAGTGAGAAAGGTACATCAACGAATCACATTCGTCGGACTTATGGCACAATACAAGTCTCGTTTTGTAAAATTTGTAAATCTTTTACGATTGGGAATTAGAACTGGTTTTTGTTTTAAATATATATTTTTTTGTAGTGATATTTTACATACTTTTCTAATAGATTTTAGTTGTATAATACATAAGCCCAGTCATAGTTTTATTTGTAAAAAATTATAATACCATATTCATTTAATAATAGCTAATTAGTTACCGCCGAGGTTTCAATGGCTTTCCTTATTTAGTATAGAAAATAATTTAATGTTATGGGGTAAAAGTTTTAAAATTTACGCTAAGGCCCACCGCACACTGCAGACTGTCTAACGGCCGATTGTTTAGTAAGAAGTAAGAACAATATCATGCAAGTGCGCACATGGTAGTTAATTTTAACTGTCTGTTGGCGATTAAGCATTATATTGGTGCCTTTTTACCTATGCGATATTTTCCAGGAATTTTGATTTCCATTTTATATGTTTTTAAACTTTTCTGCAATTAGGATTGATTTCTGCACAATTTAATATCAATTTATGCTATTTTTTAATATTCTTGAAAAATATACCAATTCGGCAAGACGAACTGTTAACTGCAGCTCTCGTACTCGTAGATAGTATATATTCTTCGAGGGCAATTGTTCGCTATTGTTATTATTGACTTTTTTATATAAAACGAAAAACAGGATTCAAATTGAAAGTAAAATTCAATATGCAACGTATGTTCAAAACTTTTAAGATTTTAATAGTAATCCATGTATAAAAATATTAATATTTAAAACCAAAGACATTATCAGATCTCTTCTAAGGTCTTTGTTTAAAACTATGAAAATGTTTTTTATTACAAAGTTATTATTTCGTAAATCGTCTAAATCTTATCAATTTAAAAAAAAACATTTCAGATCAATAATGAATACTCGCTGTGTTTTGCTCGTTCTGTAATTGAATAATATTTGGGTTTGATAATCCTTTATGCGATGTAATATAGACACCTCGGTGGACGGTATAGATTTTTGTATATAAAAAAATTAAACGGCTATAGATAACCTCTGTTTTTTATTGCATACACATGACACGTGTTAAAACTTGAAACGAAATGAAAATTAATCGTCTACTACAGTAAAAATAGAATTTTACTTTGCATAAAGTTTCCGATCCAATTTTGTTATTTTATAAGGTTTAGGATCACTTACTGAGTATAAAATCACAAAATGCTGACAAATTCCGATGGAGCTTCAGGCGCCATCTTGAAAAAACATTTTTAGCCGATATCTCGGAAACTATGCACTTAAGGACAAAAGTTATTGGAACTATTTTTGTAGAGAATAAAATTTCGCATCTTTTGTTTCCTGAATTTTTTTCTGTAAAACTTACCGTTTACGATTTATGGACCATTTAATGAACCGGTTCTTCTATTTTGGCCGATAACTCTCAAAATATTCGTTTAATAAAAGGCATCGATCCATTTTTAAAGATCTATTTATTCTCTACAACTTTTGTTTAAAACTTTTTTTCTAATATCCATAGTTTTTGAGCTATAGGACGTTCAATGTTGGACCACCGGGCGTAAGGTCAAAAATTTCAAGGTATGCATAGTTTAATGGTAAAAATTTAACAAATTAATTGAAATTTATGGTTTTTCTTATTTCCGTGAAAGATTAAGTGACTCGGACTAAGGAATAATATAGGCAGAGTGTCGTAGAACTTAACATGAAACATTCTGTTTTAAAATAGAATACTCATTATACTGTGAATTGTAATCGGTCTAAATGTTAATAAATAAAAATAGCTAAGGCATTTTATTATAATAATGAAAAAATTTAGATAAGCGTTAAGCTTTCAAAACAAAATTCATAGTGTAGGTATAGCCAATTATAGTCTAGTCAGACATGATGCTAATAGCCCTACGAAACTAGCGAATCACTTATTCTACAACGATCTAAATTAAGAAATTTAATAACTTCTTTTTTAATTCGAGTTCTTTTCTCATCTGGGAGCTTGACCTCAAAGTTTTCCGAGTCAATGATGTTACCCAAAAAATAACAAGATTTATTGGGAATTAGGCAGCTTTTCTCTTCATCTATACTAATATTATAAAGAGGTAAAGTTTGTGAGTTTGTAACGTTGTAGAGGGTAATCTGGTTCTACTGAACCGATTTAGATGAAAACTAGTAAAAAGATAATTTGAGAGACTGGGAAGGACATAGGATACTTTTTATCCCGGAAGTCATCCCTTAAGGGGGTGAAAATGGGAATGAAAGTTTGTATGGGGAATCAACCTAGGGTCGAACTCGTGCGAAGCGAGGGTGAGTCGCGAGTTAGACTTAGTGTTATTAACATTATACATATAATCCTTGTAAGATTTGCGTATTAATAAAAAACATTAAGGTATATGGTTGACAGCGCTGGATTAACTTGGATTTGCTATTTCACTCGGGGTAGTGCCCAGGGCGGCAAATTTTTAGGGGCGGAAAAATTCAAAGGGTGGGAAAAAAAAAATCTTCGCATTATCGAAAATGCTTTTTTTTTGTTTTCCAAAAAATGAATCATTTATAAATTATTTTTTGCTTATTTCAAAGTATTAATAATAATTAAAAAAACTATAAACACTTTACCCATTTTATGCAAAATATCGATAATAAGGCGGAATTTTTTACTACGCCCAGTGGCGCCGCTAAGGTTGAATCCGGCACTGACGGTTGATAATAATCCTGCAGTTCTTAGCAATCGTACAACTGGTTTTATGTATCTATGTATGGTATAGTAGGGTCGTACTTAAACCAAATGGTAAAACTTCAAATTGATAAAGATTGTTATCAAATTGAAAAGTAAATTAATTAATTGTCTTCTTAAAAAAATCAAAACAATAATTTATTAATGATTTCAATTTTTCGTAAAATGTACTGGTTATTTTTTTTTAATTATTCATTTTTTGGAAAATAAAAAAAGCATTTTAATAACGCAAAGAGATTTTTGTATCCCACCCTCCGAATTTTGCCGCCCTAGGATAGTGACCCGAGTGTAACAGCCAGTCCAGCTCTGGTTATGTGTTTGAACTGTATGTATGTATGTTTTTGACCCTATGTTTCCTCACATTTACTAAACGGCTGAAACGATTTTAGTGTTTCATACGTCGTTAGATTCGCCTTGATAACGTGAGTGTTATAGGCTATATGGATATCATGTATGAATATGATGGATATTATTAAAAAGCCAATTTGTGTCTTAAAAATATTTTTTTGCCAAAACCTATTGAATGGGGTATCAAAATAAAGGATTTGAGAGGCAATTAGAAACATATATACAACTTATATGTTTAATATAAACGTAAGATCACAAATGATTAAATAAAACTTCAAATATATAATTTGCCAAAATTAAAAAGCTGTAAAAAAATTACATTATAAAAATTAAAAACCTTTGTCATTGATCATCAGGGTAGACTGTGGACTGACGAAAATTCTATAAAAAGAAGGTGGATGCAATATTAAGAGATACTTCTGAACAAGGAATATGTGAGCGAACCAATATTTGAGCTGCCTCATTGGCCATTGCGAAGGATCGGTCAACTGTATATCGCCGTTCACCAATAGAATTATATTATGATTTGCGTCAAATGAAATACTATAAAGTAGCTGGACTGGATAATGTTTCGTATCTGGAAATCACTAAAGACGCTACCTTGACTCACTCAACTGATGAACAAAATATCAAGGCAGAGCCATATATATACCAGCTTCCTGGAGAAGTTTACAAGTCTGCCGATATACCTAACTTATCTTATACCTACCATACAAATTACAAACATGTTCCATACGTCCATGACCTATGCTTATCACTTTATCATCTATGGATACTTTGATGGATTTCATTACAAAAGGACTCTATTTTTGGTCAACTTTAATTTTCAACCGACTTCAAAAAGAAGGAGGTTCTCAATTTGCCTGTATTTTTTATGTTATGTGCCTCAGAACTCCGTCATTTATTAATCGATTCGGATAATTTTAGTTTTTTTTGAAAACGTATACTTCCAGATTAGTCCCATTTAAATTTGAAATAAAAAATACCACCCCTAAGGGTGGAAAAAATAGCTAATAAAAATTTTACCTACGTCTATTTGTCATGATTTGCAAGTGTTTTGTATTTCCGTTGGTAGTGCAGTGATTCCGTATCGTCGCGCATTAAGATCCTGATCTATAAGTAAATGAAAACTACCAATCAGTTATTTTTTACTTTTTAGTGTTTTTTTGAAGTTGGTTTAAATTTGAAGTTTTTTTACGAACAATTTATTTATTGTATTTAAATATTAATATTCACACTTGCTGTGTATTTCACATCAACAATGACAGAGTTTCATACGATCTTTAATCCCCTATGTTACCCACTTAGGGGATGAATTTAAAAAAAAAATCTTAACGGATGCCTACATCATATAACCCCTCAACTGTCGCTGTCATTTTACAAAAATATGGCGCATCTGTCGGCTACTTTTCGAGGGCCTGCGCGAAATATGTACGCATCATTAAAATAACAATATTTATTAAAATTTTATATATAAGCTATATATAAAGCTTATATCGTTAGAATCGTTTTAAAATAAACTAAGAATATATATATAAATAAGATCAATTGTATTTAATATTATATAGTTAATTCTAAGTTGAAATTACTGTAAGTGATTTTTTATCAGTATATAGTATGAAAACAGGAATTATTATAAAATAAAACTATTATTTTAAAAACTTTTAATTTCATTTAATTATAGATACAATATTTTATATTAATTGATTAAAACAACACAACTCACTATACATTTTTTTACACCACAAGCTTAACAATAACATGTTTCAATTATGGCGACTTAGCGCCGGATAAAAAAAGAGGTGTTTTTTATACTTGAATTCTAAGAGCATTGAAGATCAAGAGATTTAGGATAATCATTTATATTATAGTTTAGTCCACGTACGTTATACTGACAAAGTTTGAGTTCTTATAACTATTTAGTTTACGAGAATTGAACAATAAACCAAACACTAGAAAATAAGTGCTAAAAAATGTCATCTCGAACTTTGGATCGCAGAGCAAATTCTGTTTAAATTTTCTTTAAAATATATTTACACCTTACAATTAAGTGATATTTCAAAATGAAAAATATAATAAAAAGACATGTTGCCTTATTAGAATATTTCAGAAATCAATTCTGTAAACTAACAATTTTACTATAAGAATTACAGTCTGTCAAGAAAGTCATGAAAAAAAAGGAGGGCGCCACCAACATTAACATGGTAATCCTATAAATTTCGACTAAAAGGTTTTGATACTTTTTTTATATATTTTATGCATTTACTGATATTTTTTTTCGTAATGGCTTAGAATTATTTACTGATTTATTATTATTTACTTTACTGTCATGTGGATTATCTGACAGATATCTATCTCACTCTCTGACTCAGGGTACAAAAAGAGTTATGACTTTCATTGGTAGTGGTGAACAACATTAGCCTTCCAACTAATTTCTACGAGTATTCCAAAGACATTAGATTTTAACTGGTGCCTAATAATTATGTATTGTAGTTTGTTTGCGATGTTTATTACCTGATTTATATAAATTTGTAAATTAGAATATAATGTAATGTGTGTATAGTGAGAACTAAAAATGCTTAGTTTATTAGATATTTCTTTATTAATCAGAATCCAAATAATCAGACTCGAGATATTCGACTCCCGAAAATCTTCCTTCACCACTGCTAATAATTTTCTTAGTGTTGGTACTTCTTTCTGCACTGTGTAGAAAAACTGAACTTTCTGACGAATGGAACATATATCGAAATCATCGATGTGTTTTGTAGGTCGGCCTTTCCTGTGTTTTCCAGGTGTTGAAAATTTACCTCCATTCTTAAAACCTTCGTCTACTATGCGCCGAATTGTGCTTTCGGAAACACCTGAAATCAATAAAGACATGTTAAATAACAAATACCTTAAGCATATCTAAATAAATAACACAAAAGTATCAAAACCGTTGAGAGTTAAATCGTAGGTAAAAAACATAACCTCAACGAAATATAAACAAAGATAAAAATAGATAAATTAAACTTATAAAACAGATGAGTACCAAGAGATTATATTTCTTTTAACGTGTTTAACATTAAAACATATTTACGTACCGGTTAACTTCGCTGTTCGACCGTAAACATTGTCTTCGTTCATCCCAGCTTGAAATTCGGCCATACACCCTTGAAAAACTTTAAATATAATTTGTCTCGCACTGCTCTTATAAACATTTCGATTCATTTTTTGTCTCTAAAGAATCACACGATTCAAAAAACTCGAATTATTACAAAAATATTGTAAAACATCAACCACAAAGCTACGATGTGACAGTTAAGGTACCTAGTTTGTCAATTATTCAGTGTTGTCAGTTTTAAGAAAAGCAGTAGTTCCCAAAACATTCTTTTCATGACTTTCTTGACAGACTATACAAGGGACAGCTAAAAAAGTATGGATACGACCAATTCCATCACATCTGAACAGATTATGTTATGGAAATAAAATGATAATAAAACATCAATTCAAAATAAAACAACTTTAAATATTAATTCGGAGAGGAATTATTTTTTTTCTACTGTTTTTAACCTCTGACGCAAAAACTACGGGGAGTTATTTGTTTGACGTGCTGTGTGTTGTGTGTGTGTCTGTCTGTGGTATGGTAGCTCCCGAAGAGATCATCCGATATTGTTTTTGTTTTTTCTCTGAAAGGTGAAAAATTCGGAAGTGTTCTTAGCTATGTTTGATGAAAATCGGTCCAAGATGGCCGCCGCCACAAAATAGCGGATTACATATTTTTTCACAACTCCCTCAATATGGGTATCAAATGAATTAGCCTTGACTAGTATTATTTTCGAATCCAAGATGGTCGCCACCACAAAATGGTGAATTACATGTCGGGGTTACTTTTAAATTTTTCATTTATATTTTATAAGATTGAAGTATTGTGCCAGTTACTGTATTGAGTATTTGATGGACTCCATAGTTATAGTAGTAAAAAAATATAGTAGAGTATAAAAACTTTGTAATTAGTACTCACAGATGTTTTAAATCTGAAGTAGAAAATTTTGGATGCCTTTTGTTAGGTAAAGGACACTTTTTAATGAATATTGCTTGCAGGTAGAGGCTTTTATACATATTTATTTTAAATGAAAAAAAAAAGATGAACCCCTATCCTAAAAGCAACAAATACTAATTATTACTAAGTAAAGATACATAAGTAACTATACTAACCTCCTCCCATATAATGTTCACCACGTCTTCGATGATCAGTCACGTCGTCCAAACGAACAAAGGCGTGGTATAATATATAAATCAGATATTTTCGAAGTCAGTTCCAGCCGATGCAAAGTAAATCTAATATATTTCGATACATAAAATTCATATTTACGTATTAGATATTCATATCTTAAAATATTGTCGGCTGGCACCGACTTCGAAAATATCTGATTAGGTATCTATTCTAAATGAAAACCTCCGTTTAGCTATTTTACACATTTTAGTGCCTGGAAGTTTTTTTTTAATAAACAGTTATTTATACTACACCCTTGTTCGCTTTCGCTCTATGGTGTACATTGCCTACAATTGGTCTTTCTTGTTCACCCTCCGATCATAATATTGTAATCTAATAAGGCGTGTTTTAAGCAATTTTGGTGCAGCTTTAATAAACATAAAATGCAACATGATACTAGTTTAAGAGATGCAAATAAACTTATTTTTTACCCGACTGCGCGACGCAAAGGAGGGTAATGTGTTTATCAGTCTATGTATGTATGTATGTACATATGTATGTATGACACTCTAGAGACCAAACGCGTGGGCCGATTTCTATGATTCATATGTCGTTAGTTTCGTATTTACGCGAGTGTCATAACCTATATATAGCCTATAATACTCGCGTTATAGTTAAAAATTAAAAATAGTTAAAAAGTAAAATGGCGGATATCAGGTGCCAATTTGTCTGTAAAAAAATTTTCCAAATCAATCGAATGGGCTCTTAAAATAAAGATTTTTGGTGATCACTAAAAAAATTAAGAGAACACAACTTACATGTTTAAAGGTAATTTGGGATAAGAAATTGCTAAATATTAAGTCTTTACCTATGAAATTGTCGTTTAATATACAGAAAGTTAAAGTATTGTATTTTTATAAATATTTTTCATTTCTATTAATCAAAATATGCACCCATGCTATTGATGCAATTTGATGCAAGTGGACCAATATTGTTTTGATGCTAACGTTGAAAGCTGCTGCTATCTCAGCCACAGATTGAGTATCGTCAGCTTCCACTATCGCCTTTAATGCGTCGTTACTGATTTTAGTTTTCGGGCGACCACGGGGTTAATTTTTTAAGATCAAAATTTCGATGTTGGAAGTGTCCAGACCAATAACGAGTTGTGCGTTCGTTTGTAGTGTTCACTCGGCACTCCGTACGCGTCATTAATGTTGCGAGCCGTTTGTGCGGGATTGCTACCGCGATGGAACTCGTATTTCATAATTACTCGTATGTTTATTGTGTTTATATTGATAAAAACAAACAAATCTAGTGAAAACAAAACACTAATTAATAAACAAACGACTGAATTCAAACATAGAACTCCATACTTTTAAAATAAAATTCATTTGAATTTAGAATTTATTGCCGGCCAATCATAAATTACGTTTCTAATGACCAGTAAGTATTGTAGAACGGCAATTTCAAAAGACCTATTATAACTTCAAATTTCTAATAAAATTAAAAAGCTGTAAATAAAAAAATACATTTCATCCTTGTCGCGAGATGTACATGTGTATGTCACCAACTGCATAATACTTCATTCCTTCGTCAACTTGTTTTAATCTTTTTAGTTAGCTGTTATGCAGTTAGGTTTTTTTTATTTTTATAATGTTTTAACGTAATGTGTAAGTTGAACTTATATCTGTAAAATAAAAATCGTACTGTTTTAAAAAATTCAATTTTTTTTTAGAAAAACAGTTAAAATATTTATAAAATATTAAATTTCAAATAATCCTAAAAAACATCAATGAAAATATTCTAATGAATATTAAAAAAGCCTTCCCCATACTATCCAACAGCCGTCAAAAATGGCGGCTCGAATTTGGGTTACGTGTTATTATATTATTAATTACTTAAAATCTAATAGAAAATTTACAAATTCAATTATACGTAGTTATTTAGTTATAAATTTAAATCATGTTAATAAAAATATTATGCTATCACTAGTGTATTTTTTATTCAGAAAAAGTGAAAATATAAGGACTAAGCGCGCGTGAATGCTTACGATGTTTGACAAATATAACAATTTCTGTATAAAATCTCTATTCAATACACATCCTATGAAATAAAAACTGTTAATTACTTACCCTTCCATCATATTCCAATCCTTATACTAATAATTTTACACTATTTTGTTAATTTTTTACTCACAAGTATTGAGTTAAAAGATCGCCAAAATTTAAATAAATTGTCTGCACAAATTACAATAATTTATGTTATTGGAGTTATTACTTTTTTGACATGTAGTATGATAATAATGCTTGTATTTTTCTTTACACGTTACAAAAGTTAGATAAAAATAAATATAGTTTAAATGCGAGAAATCACACATTAAATGACATCGGGACCAATCGACCTTTAAAAGGTCGATCGACAGACGAGGTAATAAGGAATACTTACTCAAACTTCAAATTTCTACGACCAGCGGTATATGCTGTGTGTTGATCCATCTGTCATTTAGGACCACCACTGGATGCACCTCTCCTTCTCAATTTTTCCTTCAGCTGGTCTAACTTCCAGGTGCAATACATTGCACAGGTAAGATGCTAACCTGCTAGAAGCAAAAAACTAGGTATAAAAGAGATATCACAGTAAATTGCATAACCTCAGAATGTATCTAAATAGGCCATACGTGTGGCGCCTCCGTTTTGAGAAATATTCCTCATTTTTTAAATAGTTTTACCTTGTTTATTATATTCTATTGCATTTTACAACTTTTAATGTCATATTGACATTTAATTGTTATCAACAACAAGTTTATTGTGAAGATGGCGACGACTGGTGTTGGTTTTCGTTGGTTAGATTTATTAGAAAAGGAATTTGATAAAGCATGTGTCGAATTAGATACTTCTTTATGTAAGTTGTATATATAAACTTTTAATAACGTGACACACTGAGATGGTATAGTTACTAATTATAGTAAATTCTTCTCAACATATTTGGTTCAAGTAATTTTACAAAAACATTTGCAATTGCTCGTAAAAGTTGTTATTAATGTTATTTAGAAATCTCAATAAAAAATTTTTGGGATAATAATGAAAACTATATGTATAACAGCATGATTTACTCTTTTTATTTAATTCCATCGCTATTTGATTGAGAACATAAAAATTAAGACTTGCAGGGCAACAACCCCTTCATAAAAACCCAACGCACATTGACCCGTCATTGCCTTAAATGTACGATTATGTATATTGGTAGAAAATAGTGATTAGTGACATAAAGGTGTTATATATATGCTTCAAGACTGTGGTACCTTTAATTACTCTCATAGATTTTAGATCAATATTAATATTTCTTATTTATAATTGACAAAATTTTATACGTATATATACATAGCTAATAAAAATAAAAATTATTTCAGCGGAGCTAGAGAGTGAAGATCCAGATGTAGTATTTTCATCTCGGCAGAAGATAGCAACATTGAGTTCCTGCTTTGCTCAGTTGACTCACAAAGCTTTAACAATATTCCAGAACAGTGCAAAACTTGATGTATGTATTTAAATCATAAAGACATTAGACATATAATATATTTTCAAATACTTTATTATTTAATTACATTAATTAAACTTGAACCGCTGAATAGATTTACTTACCACATACCAAGTGAATCCAAGGGCAGGAACTAGTACTTATTTAATAATTCTTTTAAAAAGATTGGGTAACATTTGATTATCATCTAGTTCTAAGCTGCTATATGTTTGCTGGTACATATTTGTTTATATTCATACTATTTCATATGTAAAACATACAACATAAGAAATTTTAACACCTCCATAGTTAGTTTCCGGGAAATCAATTGTTAATTGTCATGACGGTATGTTCGTGACCGTTGAAGAGTTAATGCAAAAGAGACTTCATAAAAATTTCTTATTGGATTTATTCATACTTTATCAATTTGGATTAAGTGAGGATATTATTAAATTGAAATGAAACACTACAACATTTTATTTAAAATGTTATGTTATAATTTATTATTACATAGTATGATATACTAATTATAAAGGGCCGCGGTCATATGGGTGTTTGTGCAGATGTCTCCGATGTGGTTTAGTTGGAGTACTTTCTGTGGTTATAAACTTTTCTCTATTGGATAAATTATTCATTGTTTCTTGATCTTCCTGTATAAAGTCATTCATATTGTTATCAAAATAATTGCTGTCTTGTTCATCATCCCAATCCTCATCTTCTGTACTTTGCTCACTTCTAAAAAAATATCAAATACTACTTTTAACACATTCTATAATTTTATTTTAAGTTATCTGCAATGCTTACTTAGAGTTAAGGGAAAAAGGGATTTGTGTCTATGTTTTTATTACTTTTCAAATAGAATTCATTCTATAATATCTGCATACAAAATAAATATTAACAAATTCTAATATATGATAATATTTTATAATTTGTTAATATTTTTTTCAAGGGATCTCTTTGCCACCCTTGCAAGTTAGAAATCTTAAATGTTAACACTTCTGTATCAAATAATATTTATTCCAAGTTATATTAAAACCCATTTAGTAATTTCTCTATACTAGGTATTTTTATCAATTATACATAATAATACAAAAAAAATGATTATAATATAAATTTAAAATAATTTTTATTTTATATTTTAATGATTTCTCTGTATTATTTTGTATAATTTAGTAAATAATTATTTAGCAGTTTCAGTTTCTGTAGTTTAAAATGTACAATTCTAGGTGTAGTTATTTATATATTAATTTTAGTATTCTGATCATATCTTATGGTTAAACACCCATAAAACGAAATGTTTTCAAAATTATTCTGTTCCACAAGTTTGATGAATATGTATGAAAAATAATTACATTTTTATAGATCTGTGTGTATAGAGAACCATTCTGTCAATGCACAGTCATATATTGTTTTACAACAATATTAATTTAAAGTGCAGGCAATATAAGAACAATACTTAACTGTAAGTGTAGAGAAATAGATACGAAAGTGTAACCAAGGCAAAACAATAATGTACAGTACAACGGTACCGCCTTCTATAACTTCTAGATCGTCAATATTCTTTGGGACTTATGTGCAGTCTATCTCACTGATTTAAGTAATGAACTCACAATAAGATAATGTGTACTATAAAATATTGCATCCTACCTTCTATTGACGACATGTTTGGTTCAGTTTGTAGTAACCCTACTTGCTGTGCCAGCGGTCGCGGGTTCAAGTCTCGCTGGGGCATTCATGTGTGATGAGCACGAATGTTTGTACTCCAGTTATGAGTGTTTATATTTATAATATATATGTATTTAAAGTTATATATGTGTAGTGTATCAACTATCTGGTATCCATAACACAAGCCTCGTAGCCATGGAATTTGATGGTGCTGTGTGTTAATGTCCCAACATATTTATTTATTTACCTGATTCCTTTGAGTTTCAATAGCAGTCTGTCCGCGGCATCTGTAACGTCAGAGCCTGGTATCGGCTCCTCAGACTCTTCACTCAAATGTCCTTCTAATCGCTGTAGTGCAGCATCGGCTCTATTTGTTAACGCTATGAATTTTTCAGTTAGCTGTTGTAATTCTTTCTCATTGAAAACAGAATGTGATGAATTTCTAAACAAACTTTCCAATCGTTTGCATGGAACTTCAGGCTGGATTATAAAGAAAATGGTATTTTAGTACTCTATGTCGTATTATAAATTACTTAAATAGGGTTTAAACTTCATTTTGTCACTTACTTGTGTCGGCCGGGTGTTAAGTAGTTTCATAACTTTGTTGTCATGGTTTTTCATTGTTACTTGAATATTTTGGAGCTCATGAAACGTTGACGCAGTTCTGAAATTCAGAGAATAATCTTAATGTTGTCGTTGTTATTAAACATAATTATTCATTGAATGTAGCATGAGTTTTGGACAAATATTTCAAATGTATCTACTTATTCTTTGACTTTATGGTATTACTAGCGAGTAACTTTAGTACAGATTTCTCAGAGACAAGATATTGTCCCGCAGTAAAAAGTATCCTATATCTTGACTCGGATAACCAGCTATCATCATACCAAATTTCATCAAAATCTGTCCAGCGGTTTTCTCGTGACGCGGTCACAGACAGACAAAAATTTTAAAAACTATAGATTCGGCCTATATCTATAATAATGCCTATATCAATAAGATCTTCCAAAAAATATTTAACGTACAGATTCGAATCAGTTAGAATTTTATTACATGTATAGATATTTCGTCTATTATTATTTTTTTTAAATTAATACTATCACTAAGTATATGAAAAGGAAATGTTGAACTGTGGTCATAAAAGCTTATCCTCCTTCAATATAAATAAAAGTAATAAATATTCTAATTTAGAAGTAATCGTGCATACTTATTTATGAGCGAGTCTATCAATTTATCTAGCACGTCCGCGACGTGCGTCGGATCGTCGAGTTGCACCCGTTGACAAGAATCGGCAAAGCGCTTTTGCACGTCTAAGACTTCTTGCATCTGTAAATAGTGTTTTTTAATAAATTCATATTTTTCTGATCGTGTTCCTTATAAATAGTATTTAAATAAAAATGTATTCTAGGCTTCAAGTAATCTTTACTAACTTTAACAAGTAATATTGTACATTCGGTTAGAGCATCTGTGAAGGATGAATGAAATTCACAGCTCTTGAACACTTTTCACCTGCCATTTGGTATAGAAAGACTAAGATAGAGGAATAAAAAGGCGCACAACCTGTAATAGAAGTTTGCTGAAGAAATAAACTGATTCTCGCAATATTTTCTCTTATAAATCGATGAACAAATGTTAATCAGATCATTAAGACCTATGTTTTTTGTTCTTCTACTCATTCAGCATTCACAAGAGGGATCAAACTATAATGTCAATTCAAAAATTAGTAAGTAAATATGCTGCAATTACGGTCGTTATCGCTATAATCTTCTTAATATATACAAAGTATAATTATGCAGCTACAAACTAATTTGTTTATCTTTCAAAGTGAAAATTTATCGTGTCATTTAATATTAAAATTATAATTGATTATTAAGTAAATGCATTATCTATTGCCAATAGCGCTATCGTAACTTGTAATCCATGCTCGCTTTAGCCTTCATATTTCCAAAGCTCAATTTGTAAGTATGGTTGTCGTTTCTTAAACTTATTAGCTATGCAAAGCCCTGTACGTGTAGTGCAATATTGTTTGTACAATACACAGTAGGTTTGTTGAATGATAAGTATCTAAACTGACATTGGTTAGTGACTTTCAAATTTTAAACAGTTCGACTAATTCTCATAATAAGAATATAATGTAGTTAAGTATAAGATATTCAGTTTAAGATCGAAAACTATACAAAAGTTTACCTTCATATCTATTTTATATGTATTGTCTTGAAGACGTCTCGAGAATGTTGCTTCCAAGTCTGCTGACGACATACGTGCCTCCCGTTGTCGTCTTGCGAGCGTACGTAGACCGTCTGCGAGCTCACGCCGCGTTACGTTTACCAATGACATACCGTCTCGTACCAAGGACTCTAAGAGAAGGCCGCGTCGCCACGTGTCAGTGTATGCACCACTTACCTAAATCATATGATAAGCATTCGTTAATCCTGTTGTTGCAAGGCAATATTAACATATTATTACCTATTATAAATACAACTTTCTTACCTTTTCTAACAAGTGAGTATGAGTTTCTATATGATTTGTCAGATTTTGGGCAACTTCCATAATTTTAGCTTGACTTTTTTCGATTTTATTGCTACTCTCTTTGATCGAGGTCTGAAAACAAAAGTTTTATTGAGTTATATTTTATTTTAAACTAGCAGCTCACCCATGCTTCGCTCGGGTTCGCGTCTAGAAAAACATAACACAAATCTATCCTACGGGAATCGTAAATTTTTCCGGTATAAAAAGTGTGCCAAATTTCATCCAGATCCATACAGCCGTTCTGGCGTGATTGAGTAACAAACATTTAAACATCTAAACTTTCACATTTATTATATTAAGTATGATAAAAAAAAATATTGATTACATTTCAAAATATTCTAATATTATATGGCATATGAACCTGTACGCTGGTTTGCAGCATGTGAAGCCTGTGCTCGAGCCTCTCGGCTGCCAATTGTGCTCGTTCAAGTTTTAAAGACAGAGTAGTTTCTAGGTGATCTGAAAGAATAGTGAAAATCATATTCCTGTATTCATTCAATTACATTCAGTCTTTAGATGTTTATTGCTTTTGATTAAGCGATGCCCCTATTTGTTCAATTGCGAATGATAAATAGAGTCAATATTGCGAAAGTTGACATAACGTACGGATCCTAAAATAGGATATGACACAATAAGGATGTTATTAGTCATCGTTGCACATTGAGAAATATGTACGTTTCTTTAGAGTACATACAAACAAATTTTTATTTAGGCCGGAACTTCAAATACGATATTACAAATTTTGTAACAAGTCAGTCGTATGTCAGTGATGCAGGTGATGTTTCTAAATGGTTTTGTAAGCAAAATGTGTGTGCTTTAGAATTTGAATTTTAATGACAGTATTATTAGTTAAACTTGCTTATTATGTTTTACGGGTTTATATTCAAGTCTTTTCAAACAGACATAAATTATTATTAATATAAAATAACTATAGTGCACTTATATTTATAGGTATCAATAACTATCATACAAATAACACAAAACACTGCAGTATGTCCAAGCAATATTTTTATAGTTTTTTAAATTATGTACCCATAAAATTATACAATATGTAAACAATATTAATATTGTTTATATATAATATATATACATGTAATATAATAAAATATAACTTTGTGTATAATATACATTAATATAGGTACTACATTTCTATTTACCTAGCTTATCTTGTATTACGTCCAAACGTCGCGCTTGTTTCACTTGCACTGCGCTAATGGTGTCTAATAAACGTAGACGCTCGTCAATATTTGCTAAAATAATACCTAATTCCTAAAATGAAGAAAAAATATTATTATAATAAATAAAATTTCAGAAAGATCTCACGATAGTTTAGTACCTAGTAGTGTATTTTTATTATCAAATATATGTAAATTTTCTGTTTAAACTAAAAAAATTACATTACATGATCGTGTAATGTGTTGTACATGGTAGTTGAGGATTGTTTTGATTTCATATTTATGAATTACTAGCGACTCGACCCCGCTTCGCTCAGGTTCGTCCCTGGGTACGTTTCGACGCTTAGTATGGAATAGATTTGTTTTTTCAAATTTTTTTTTCGTGAATTTTTCCGAATTTTTAATAGTTATTCTGCTATTTGGGGTGAAGATAAATCCTTGAAAATCGGTCCAACAATTCTCGAGTTATTATAAGTGTTGTAACAAACCCGACTGTGTTTTATATAGATTATAAGAAATAATGCTGAGTAAATAAAAAGAAACTTCGGCTGCTTAAAAAACTAGTACCTATTCCTGAACTAAGATGTAAGTTGATCCTAGGCGTGTATTGGAAATTACTGTTTTTTCAATGATGATCTGTGTATTTTTGTGCTTGTGTTGCGCCTATGTTTTCGCACAAGGTAAGGGTCTTAGACAATATTGTACATATTTATTTCGTGCTCTCTCTCTCTCTCGCTCTCTTTACTCGCCTTTCTATTCTTTTCTCACAACTTCCTGCGCCTCAGGACTCGTTAAAAGTTCTCTTTCAGGGTTCTTTTCAAAAGAGGCTTCTTCAAAGTTCAAAAGTGTATAGTAAGCTATGTTATCTACTTTGAATTGTAGCCTATATTCGCGAGAGAATCTCCCATAAAAATTGATTAGGTTTTTCTATATTATCTCGCGGCAAGTTTTTACTTTTCTGGGGTAAATAAGTCTTTCTCACCTGAATTTTATCTTTCTGGAAATTAGCGAGTACAAGTAGACAGACGGAATATTTTTAATCAAGAAAAACAATAATTTTCCTAATTGAATTCAATATGGGGTAGCTGTTTTGTAATCAAAAAGAGACAATTCATTTTTATTAATTAATAAGTAAATTACACATTATAAATATTATTTATATATTTTATCAGTAGTATACCTTAGGTGTATAAGAGTTAACCGCATAGGTCCGCAGACCGTGTGTTTCAGCCGGCGAGGCGCGCGCCAGCCAAAGGCACGCGAGCGCCGCCACAACTACACTTAACATCGCCCCGCCTGTAACGTGCGCAAACTAGATTTAATAAAATAAAATTAAAGAATTTGAAACATTAAAAATATACATAATCAATCGCCTATTTGGTTTATAAGCAAATAATTCAAATCGAAACATTTCTACAATTTGCAAATACAATGACTTTGCACGTTGAAGTTTAACAAATCGAAGTTTTAGACAAGATAAAGAATTGCATTTTATAATCTATGTGATTATTATTTTGTTTTTGATTAGTTTATAATAAACTAACCAGATATTTTGTTTTCTTAACGTCATATATATATATATATATATATATATATATATATATATATATATATATATATATATATATATATATAGAACACAGCAATTGATATTCTTTATTTTTCGTTAACATAAAAATAGATAAAAGCATTATTGAAGTGACATTATCTTTTCTTGCTCACTACTAAATTACTTATATAAATAAATATTTTTATATCTTAACAAGGCAAACCAGTTAGCTTCGGAATTTCTTTAACCGTAATGTGCTATTTTTAATATATTGGCTGATTAATTTAACTCAAGTGATGGATGAGTATAAAAATCTACAAGATAATTAAATTCTTAAGCATATCCGAGTTTTATACTTATTTCATTCATTCGATACTTCAGTAATTGTAACCATTATTTATTTTCACTTCTGGTTAGTATCTTCAATGATATGTATATTGTATATAGTTTATTTGGGTCTTGGATTTATCTCTGGTCTGCAGGTCATTGAATCTGCGGCCATATTATGTAACTGAGAGCAATGTTCTATCATGTTCAATTATTTACAAATATTTGAAGCAGATATATCTTTTATAGGTCTATTCTCAAGATCAATAGACGGATCCGGAAGAAAGACACTTAATCGTGACTAGACGCACGGCGTGTTCCATTATTCGAAACGCGTGTTGACATGAATTGTTTATTCCAACGATCACCGGCAGGTGTGCTCTCTCGTCCTGCTTATATGCATCTATTTATTTGCATTCCGGTGCAGTTCGTGGACCCCGAGTCAGATTATCATTGTCGAACTGCGCCCACACACAACCGAGGTCAACCTTTCATCAGCCCTGACTGCTCCCATGAGATTCATTGCATAATCCCACAACGTCTCGCTATTACAACGTCAGTCATGGTTCCTGATTAAATCTTCTAAATATGTGGCTTTAAGTATATCGTACGCTGTATAAGTATTGTTTAGCTATTGTTACCTATTGATATCAATTTTGCAAAGAATGAAAATAAATTTCTTGATTATTGTGGAATATCATTAGCAATGTGCAATTTTCGACACATGCATAATTAATTACGTTTGTTTAATTGGAATTAGTTCGCGAGATCTGTAATGGTTAATCTAAAAGTTTTTTCTTGTCCAGTCTTTTCATTATAAAAATTTACGATTAATATAGGTATTTCTTAAAATAATTTCTCATAAGGTTATCAGGTTGAATTTTTTTTTGTTAAGTATTCATAAATTAAGAAAGGGAAAGGAATGTTTAAATTTGGAGTCCGATGACCTCATCGTGCTTAAAACTTGCAATGCAAGTATACGTACGGATACAAGGACACTTTTTGAGTAGAGAGAATATAATCGATTTTGAAAATAGTATACTTAAAACTGACTTGCCATAAAATACTACCTAATTTAGTAATAAAATGTTAGTACCAAATTGCTCTTTTGATGTTGATGCTCAAAGCTATATAACAATAATATGCCTCGCGGTGTACAGTTGATTTGCAGAACCGCAATTTACAGTGGCGGCTTGTCAAAGTTCAGTAGAACTGGAGTTGAGCCAACACGGTTAGATGGCACTTCCAGGTGCAATATAACTTCCCTATAGATTGTTATTACTGCACTAATGCCTAATTAACATAATCGAAGGAGTTTATTTACTTTAGTTTTCTTAGTTTTATCCTAATGTTAAAGCCATGTTATATTTTCAAATTATTTAAAATAAATATTAAGAAACAGCTTTGGTTAAGATTCAAATCAACAGATGAAATTTCAAATCTTTTATAAGGAGATTTATTTGTTTTCACAGAAGTCGTTGGCCTTTCCGTCCTTCCCTTGTCCTATTGTATGTAAGAGCTTCCTGGTGAGATCACGTTTATTTCTAAGCCTCTCTACATTTGCTATAGAATTTCTTCTTTGTCTATAAATTCGTGACTGTTCTCACAAATTAAGGTTGTTTCGTGAGGGATAAGATAAAAACAGTATTAATTTATTTTTTCGCCATGTCATGCAGCTTCCGTTTTCAAAACGGAAGGTAACACAATTAATTTTTTATTCTCAAAGTTTTTTCAAAAGTAACATGACGGATGATATGTATTTTACGATTCAGACAGATTTAAAACTCGTCGCTCTAATAACAAAAATGTTAAAAGGTTATCAAAAATGTAGATATATAGGTACTTCTTTATTTATTGTGGTATGATGGACAATAATTTTAAGGAATGTGAGCATTGGAGATTGTCGTCAGAAACGTTATAAATGTGGCTTTTATTTGTCTTTTATGGTCACTGTAATAAGACTAATGAGTCTAACATAAAATAGTGCATCAAGCTTGCACTAGGTCTTTGTATGTTATTCTTCAACTAAGCTGTTTGTTGCTTATTTAAATGAGTGAGTAGCAAACTGCGAACTTTTCCTGTAGTCAGCGTGGTAGTTAGTACTTAGAACGCATCGTGGAATGTCGCTGGGTGGCTGATAAGTAATTTGCTTTAGGCTGCAAATACGTGACTCAATATAATTAAATTTTATTTGAATGTATTTGCCTACTGTAATTATTGTTATGTAAACTTTATTTGCTGGATTTATTTTTGGACCATGTACGGGGTATCTTACTATAGTATACGTCTGAGAGGAGACTCTTACCACTTGCAACCCACGTCACAATTAAAAACTTCACATGAATCTGTCATATTATGCTGGAGCCTACACTTATGGCAACCAAAAATAATCAGCAATATTTCAAAATATTATGTTGCACGTAATATGTACATAGTGTTCGTTCTCGCAATAGCTGCAACCTACCTACTCTAAACGGTGATATATGAATTCTCCTAGATCGCCTTATCTGCTTGCCTTTGGTCGTGTCAATGTTCGTCCTCCTTTTGAAATTTCTACTTATTGGGTGAAGCACCTTTAGTTAGAGTTCAAGTGCTCGCCAAATTTTTGTTATCAGTCAACATCTTGATCGCAATGTTAATAGTTCTTGTATTTATCAAGATTTAAAGTTTATGTATAAAAAATAATCAGTATTTGTAATATTTGTTATGGAAGGCAAATATAAATTATTAGTATTACACTGATTGTTTGCAAAGTCAACTGTTTGAGGTGTGCGAAAGTGGGTTATAAGGCGCGACAGACTGCGCGGCGGCGGGAGCCGGTCGCCAATTGACCAGAAGTACAAACTAAAGATAGCCTCACCTTTAGATACACTAGAAATCTGATGTTCAGTGACTGTTCCAGTCATTTTAGTCAATATTTTATTCATATCAGTTAATTATCAAATAAATAGTAATTATATTTTAAAATTAACTATAGAAACTATAGGAATGACTTTGCTACCGTATTAGAGCTAAAAATCAAAATAGATGACGAAACTTGAAATCCTTCGGTTTGACATGACAGAAATGCTTTATATCTTGTCAATAGTGAAGTTGACGTTAAAAACAAAAACTTCCTAATGGACGAAAGAAATAAAACTGTTTCATCGGCTTCAAAAAAGTGTTATGACTCATAATTTTTTATGGTTACATGGAGGAAAAGGGAATATCTACAGGAAATTTTATAAGTATGCAATACTTTTACGAGGGATTGAACAATATGAAGCTAAATTGTTAATATAGTACTCGACCTAGTTACTTCTTATCTCATTGATAAAATTCAGAAAGTTTAATTATACCTACCATCATCCAGACTACGGAAAAAACAGTTCTTGCGTCTTTTACACATTTCAAAAGATACTATTTCGAATTTATAATACGAAAGAGTATCTCTTGAAGTGTTCTTTTTTGACGCAACGTATCGACGTAATTTTTGCATATAGGACAATCAAGTAGTTCTGTAGAATATTGGTATACTGCAAAAATGGGTATCTGTTAATTTCCTAAAGTAAAATTAATTCATGCACTATGTTGTTTGTAAATGCAAAAGTTTTTTTGTTATTGAATGTGTGTACTTCATCACACTGTAACGGCTTAATGGAATTGAGTGATCTTGGTATGGAAATAGCTTGATTCGTTAATTAAATCATAGATTTTATCGACACATGCACCTACCACGTGAGTTTGGAATAAGCACATAGGTTACTTTTTATCCCAGAAATATGTATGGTTCCCGTGGGATAGATTTGTTTTTGTTTTACACTAGGGACGAACTCGAGCGGAGCGAGGTTAAGTCGTTAGTATAAATCATAATTTTACTATGAATGACAAACTATTATCACCTCGCGGTTAATTTCTAAGAAGAACGTACTAGCGGCTCATATCACCATCAATCAATCACCCTCGCGTCGCTCGGGTTCGCTTCTAGGAAATCAAAAATAACGCTGTCCCACGGGAACCGTACATTTTTTCCGGGTTAAATATGTGTTCTTCAAGACTATAATCTATCTCTGTGCCAAATTTCATCCAGATTCGTTCAGCCGTTCTGGCGTGAAAGAGTAACAAACATCCATACTCACAAACTTTCATATTTATAATGTAATACGGATGATTTTGCCACCGTTTAATTATTTAAATTTAGTCTTGAAAATTCCTTGACCACTACATTACCATGAAGATAAATAGCGAGTCTATCATTAGAGCGGTGCTTAAAATATATTCTTTGTTGCGTGTCTGTTAGTGTTTAGCTATTACTTTTAATAGAATAGTAAGTGCAGTTTTTGTCTCATTATTCTTCTTATTACCTCACACATAGTTTTGTATTTGATTAAATACCACAAAGGAAAGTGGTTCTACCTATATAAAAACCCGAA